GCGTTTTTTTCGTCAAAACTATTTAATTTAAGGGCTTAAATTTGCAACTTGCAAAAAAATATCTCATCACAGCACACATTTTCCACAATGTAGAACTTTTCACTTCATGGCAAATGTTCGTTGCAGATCCATCCGCGATGAAAGGTGGTGAATGTTCAGTCGTTCAATCGTAATGGTGGCGCAGCTGATTTCACAAAACAGAAATATCATCCCCCATGTATAGCTCACTATAAAGTGGACATCCTTTGCGCTTATAAAGTGCGTTTCCGGTCGCCACTTTATATACCGACAATGGGGGATAAAGCCGTGTTTTGCGCGAGAAACATGCCCTTGGACCTGGAAGATGACTTTATAGCAACGTTGGCTTTCCAGTTTATACCCGGCTGGTTCCCCACAAGGAAACGACTCAATATATGCGGCAATGCATTTTATAGACCGTTGGTTCCCTTCAAAGAATGGCCTTAATATGTCACACCATCCACTTTATAGAAACATGTCTCCCCAATGATTTCGGGCCAATATCTTTCTGTTGGGGCTGTATACATGGCAAAGCACTTTATAGAGTGAAACTTGCCCTTTAAGAAGAAGAATTTGTGCTGCATCCAGGGCACTTTATAGAAAGAAAATTGCGGCAGAGCATTTTATAGAGTCATGAGATACATCACCCAAATCACTTTATAGAGCTGCCCAGGACCCCATTCACCCTGAGGACCCCTTTCAAGGGAAATCTTCTTCTCTATAAAGTGGCCAGTCCAGGTAAAACCCCTGAAAAAACAGAATCTATGTTGGACTGGCCACTTTATACCCCCTCCCCAACAGAGAATGCCTCTATAAAGTGGCCAGTCCAGGTAAAACCCCTGAAAAAACAGAATCTATGTTGGACTGGCCACTTTATACCCCCTCCCCCAACAGAGAATGCCTCTATAAAGTGGCCAGTCCAGGTAAAACCCCTGAAAAAACAGAATCTATGTTGGACTGGCCACTTTATACCCCCTCCCCCAACAGAGAATGCCTCTATAAAGTGGCCAGTCCAGGTAAAACCCCTGAAAAAACAGAATCTATGTTGGACTGGCCACTTTATACCCCCTCCCCCAACAGAGAATGCCTCTATAAAGTGGCCAGTCCAGGTAAAACCCCTGAAAAAACACATTTTTACCTGGAATGGCCACTTTATACCCCAGCCAGTGGGCTCCAGGACTTTGACCCGGAAACGGAAGGACTGACAACAAGGTAAAGGGGGAAAACTACAACGGAGAGGTACAACGGGAAGGCTACCACAAGAAAATGAGACATGTCACGTTTATATACGTTTATTGTTTTCAATGTGTCATATAGATTGGCGATGATTGGTATATTGAATATGTTGTAGATGTATTTTGGAACATATGTATACCTATGATTCACACATCAATATAAATATATATAAATCATAAACACATGCCAAACCAAAAACTTTTAGCTGAGTATTGTATTCCCAATCTGTTGGCAAATGTCCAGCCGATTCACCATGCGTGACCCAACAAGATTCAAACTATGGATTGTTTACTTTTGAAAAAAAATACTGGGTGAATCTACGTATATCTATGACGACAATCTCCCAAAATCATCCTAAAAATCTATGGACATCTATGGACCAAAACCACGGCCACATGCCCATCCTCTATAAAATGGTTTGCAAGAAAGTTCAGCTCTATAAAGTGGCTTGATCACGTCATTTCTGGCAGCCCCACCCTCTGTATAAACTGGCCGGTCCATGCCCATCCTCTATAAAATTGTTTGCAAGAACCAGTAAAAAAAAATCGAAAGTAAACAATCCATAGTTTGAATCTTGTTGGGTCACGCATGGTGAATCGGCTGGACATTTGCCAACAGATTGGGAATACAATACTCAGCTAAAAGTTTTTGGTTTGGCATGTGTTTATGATTTATATATATTTATATTGATGTGTGAATCATAGGTATACATATGTTCCAAAATACATCTACAACATATTCAATATACCAATCATCGCCAATCTATATGACACATTGAAAACAATAAACGTATATAAACGTGACATGTCTCATTTTCTTGTGGTAGCCTTCCCGTTGTACCTCTCCGTTGTAGTTTTCCCCCTTTACCTTGTTGTCAGCCCTTCCGTTTCCGGGTCAAAGTCCTGGAGCCCACTGGCTGGGGTATAAAGTGGCCATTCCAGGTAAAAATGTGTTTTTTCAGGGGTTTTACCTGGACTGGCCACTTTATAGAGGCATTCTCTGTTGGGGGAGGGGGTATAAAGTGGCCAGTCCAACATAGATTCTGTTTTTTCAGGGGTTTTACCTGGACTGGCCACTTTATAGAGGCATTCTCTGTTGGGGGAGGGGGTATAAAGTGGCCAGTCCAACATAGATTCTGTTTTTTCAGGGGTTTTACCTGGACTGGCCACTTTATAGAGGCATTCTCTGTTGGGGGAGGGGGTATAAAGTGGCCAGTCCAACATAGATTCTGTTTTTTTCAGGGGGTTTTACCTGGACTGGCCACTTTATAGAGGCATTCTCTGTTGGGGGAGGGGGTATAAAGTGGCCAGTCCAACATAGATTCTGTTTTTTCAGGGGTTTTACTTGGACTGGCCACTTTATAGAGGCATTCTCTGTTGGGGGAGGGGGTATAAAGTGGCCATTCCAGGTAAAAATGTGTTTTTTCAGGGGTTTTACCTGGACTGGCCACTTTATAGAGGCATTCTCTGTTGGGGGAGGGGGTATAAAGTGGCCAGTCCAACATAGATTCTGTTTTTTCAGGGGTTTTACCTGGACTGGCCACTTTATAGAGAAGAAGATTTCCCTTGAAAAATTCCTCAGGGTGAATGGGGTCCTGGGCGCGCCGCGCGCGCGCGCGCCAAAAAGGTGTCAAAATTGGAGCCATTTTGCGGCGCGACCAGGACCCCTTTCACCCCAAGGACCCCTTTCAAAGGAAAGTGTGTTAGAGGCATTCTCTGTTGGGGGAGGGGGTATAAAGTGGCCAGTCCAACATAGATTTTGTTTTACCATAGATTCTGTTAACGACTTCGATATAGATATTTGTCTGGCTGTCGGTTTCGTTCGGTTTCGAAGTCATTCGAAGTCTTTTGGGTTCCCCATCGATGAGATCGATGATATTCCCCCAAGGTTTGAACGTGGCCCCTCAACTTTATAGACAATCATGTCGATGCTGCCATCGTCGCGATTAAGAAAATCATCGCTACTACAACGATCGTTGTTTAGCCGGAAATCCACATTATAGTGCCACTGTTCTGCACAAGTATTACTATCTGGATGTTCGGCATCTCACTTTATAGTCATGGGACATGTTCACAAGTACCCTCAAAAACCTGCATCGAGTTTTATGTTTTTACGCGGCCAGGCGACTTTATACAAACGTTGGATTTTGACTTTATAGACAAAACATGTTGGCTTTCCACTTTATAGACTCCAGACATGTGGCCATTCCAGTTTATACCAGGCTGTTCTCTATAAAGTCGGCCGCAAAGCATCTAGCGGGCTATACATGGGGGATGAAATATCAAATTTGCCCGTGGGCCGCGCACGGTCGACGGAGAACATGTGCCAATCGCAGGACGCATCGCGCTGCAACCAATGTCTACATGAAACATTGTGCAATGTCATTTTTGAACATGGGAACATGTCCACTTTGTTGAAAAATGCCTTGCACATGGTATGTGGGACGTACTTTAACATAATGGAGACAACTTTGACCCTAGCGAAGTGCATTGCACAATTTTGGATTGGAAACCCACACAGTTTGCCATGGCGATGGCGGGTGTTTCGCCTTTGCCTCGATACATTGGTGGCAAACAGGCAGCGCAGTGATCACCCTCTCATTTGTCGCAGTTTCTGGCGGACGCAGCGCGCATGGGGTATGCATAACGGAATCTTTCCAACGTGTTCCAACAAAACAAACATTTAAAATTTTCAAACACAAAGCAGGGGATGATGTGTTGAGCGGCCTTGAAGCGAGTCAGAGGCCGCGGTTCTCGATATGATTGTGATGTAGAGGTCTTGTGTAGCGCTAAATTGGGCACTTCAAATCGTCAAGGACGAATCTTTGATTCTGGCTGCAGGCGACGCCGCCAATGCAGCAAACACTGCAGAAAACCACGCGTGTTGCAGCTGCCGTGCTCTCAGCTCCAAAATTTATAAGATGTATTTTTAAATTTGATCGTGTGGAGATTTGCGTTTAGCATTTTTCATGTTTGACGGTGTTGTTGAAGGTTCGGCGATATGGATTGCAAATTGTGGTTTCAAAGACGGTTTGTAGCATGTGTATGTGTGTGTGTGTGCGTTCTTTGTCGGTGGGCAAATGCCAAAAGGGGCGTCATGCATTTTGACAAATTGGCCCGATTCCCAAGGCGTTTCCAACACGCAACTCGTCGACCAAGAGTTCCCTTCATGTTTGGCCCTCGGTGTTTTTGATGAAAACTGGACAAAAAACGTGTTGGTCATTGGCGATTTCTTTTTTGGGGAAACCTCTCTGGCATGACATATTTTTTGTGTGCGAGGCCGCTGTTCGCAACAGGATTTGCGTTGACATATTTTTTGATGATGCTGGTATGCCTCATGTTTTTCAGACCGGACATACCGCTGTGCGTTTGAAAGTCCCGCGCGTAATTTGAATAAATTTTGGGCTGGGTGCGGATAGCAGTATAGCCCTCTGTTTAATTTGGATTCCCTTCCCTCATTTCAAAGAACAATGAAGAATATCAACGTCAGAAAAAGGTTTGGGTCAAATTGATCGGACCGACCGTAAAAATGCAGAGTTGAACGTTGAAACAAGTTGACAATCAAATTCGATATGGAACTCGAAACATGTTGAAACCGTTTGCGTCCAAAGTGCGAAACCCAAATTATATTGATATTTGTTTCGTTCTCAAAGATCTTGCAATTATGGAAACATGTCAATGTCCCACTGGATAAATATGATTTTTTCATCTGGTTTTGGTGACCACGTTGGTGCCCAGTTTCCGCCCATGGTTTTGAGGCAGGTCAATTTGCTGCTGGTGCTGCTGGTTTGCTTGCGGCTGCCGGTTCCCGCGCCTCGGATATACTTTCAGACTCCATGGGAATATTTCGGGACGCAAGGCGCTTTTAGAGCCTAAGGAGAAGTTTACAAAAATGGTAATATTTTTAATACATGCGTTTCTAAATGCCCTTGTTGATTCCGAACGGTTATAAATGAGACAATCGTTGCTTTAATTCCAATGGAAGAAATGTGTTCTTCGTCAACATGGCCACTGGGTTGGACGTATAGCCCACTTTTGGACAATGACAACATGTAGTTGATGTGCTAGACCTACCATGCGCGACAAGGGTCACAGGTCTCTTGATAGAGGCACCAAGGCAGCAGGAACGTCAATGTCAGGGTTTTTTTCAAAAAGGTCCCGATCATCGGCGTACACCCAGTTGTGTTACAAGGGCTTCTCACCCAAGTTCTATTATGTTCTACTGATTCACATATCATAGCAGCACAGGGAAATTACATGAACATATTACAAATCTGTTAAGCAATGTAACGCAAGATAGATAAGTTTGGTTATCCGGTTCATACTTGTGTCGGTTGGTCGTTTCATGTTTTATCCTTGTGCCATGTTGATGCAAGCAAGCAGTGCAGGAGGAGTTCCTATATACGGGAGGACACCTATTTGACATTCTACGTTGGCAATGTTCTTGGTAACATGATGTAACATGCGTTTTTTTTGCTTGTCAATGTTCAATACATTTTAATAACATATTTGATTTGTATTTCTTATCTATGGGTCCGTGTCTTTTGGCTCACTTTAATTCGCTCCTCAGCCGTTTGCGAACCACAAGGGCGGCGGCACTACAACGACAACGAAGCTCACTTTAATCCGCCATCTATTTTGCAGTTTCTGATGTGGTGATTTTTCCGACATTATTCATGTTTTTTTGGTATATCGGGCTGCCTACCGGTGCCCCAAACCCTGCTGTTTTTATTGAAAAAATTGGGCACCCCAATTCTGATACATTCCCATATTGGGTAATTTATTGATTTATTTCTTTAGCTCACTTTAAATTTCAATCACCAAATAATATAATATAATTTAATATAATAATATAAATATATATATATTGGCAGTGTCTTACTTCATCATCCCCATACTATCTTTATGCGATACTGAACTGCCAATCCACTGACATCAGGCCGAGTTCTCCGTCCAGGTGGACGTGGCTGGTTTCACGATCATCCCCAAATGGTAGGTTTGACATATGGGGATTTTTGGGATTGTTTTCCATGATCAATGTTATTAGACCATATCTTTTGGTGGGGTTGCAATGGGTGTCACCAACACCAGTTTCTTTCAAACCTTAATTAACCAAATGGCATGTATCACATGTTTTGCCATTTATTGGTGACATCGTTTGCTGTTAGAGGTGGCTGGTAATAAACTACCCCCACCATTGCAAAATTAGATGGGTTCCAGATATAGCACCAAATGGCAAGGTTACAACTGAGTTTTTTTTTACGTTTTGCCAGTTGCACATCCACTTACATCCCGAACGTGTTGTTTTTTCCCGTCTGGTTGGTGACTTGCTTGTCATTTCACATCTCGTCGGACGTCTCAGCCATTTTTGGCTGGTTTGCTGCTGTGGTCCCCTTGCCGACCAACAACACCGCGCTGATGGGGGCATCGCGACGCGGCCGCAGCTGAGAGTCAACGAGTATAACCAGTGGTGACTGGAGGTCGGGATTCTTCCATTGAAAACAAATTGAAGTTGATCCAGAATAGAGATTTGAGTTCGACATCAAACTTTGGGAAGTAAAGATTTTTCTGATTTGAAATCCAAATAATTACTCCAATTGTCCATGGGGAAGTTGGATGAAGTTGGATGAAGTTGGCGAAAGCCAATGGATGGGATCTTGAACCATTTCTTTAGGTACCAAGTTCCGGCTGCCCTCGTGGCAAAATCTATGCAAATGCGGTCCTTCTCAACATTTGCTTCCAGGCATTTCGATTCAACATTTACAAAAATAGGAAACAAATTGTTCTCAGGACATGCTGTGATTGTTGGGCGTCCTCATATGTTCATAAACCTTGTCACTTTTTTGAGACTTCTCTCGTGGGTGGGTAGGACCTGAGGTTTGCATTTGCCCTGACATGGATCATCTCCTGCTCGGCGGAATTCTTGGCAGGTTCCTGCTGAATCTCCAGTGGGATGCAGCAACGTGTGTGAGTTGATTTTACGGACATGTGTTCCCTCTGGTAAACAAACATAGCTATTGAAAATGACCATTTATAGCGGATTTTCCCATTAAACATTATGATTTTCCATAGTTATATGTAAACGTTTACCAGGCCGGGTAAATTCTTGGTTTCTTTGAGATTATGCCTCTAAGTTAAGGTTCCTCAGAGACATGGATCATGACACGATATGAGACCGAGAGTCTCGGCCCTGTCCCTTATTGGCCTCAGTAAATCTAATTTGCACCTATTTTTGGTTGGGGTGCCAGCTTCCACGAACATCTCTCCTACCCCTGTGCCTCCGGGTGGATTTTTCTTGCTGTTCTGGATTCTGTTTCGGAAATGCCCGCTCCTTTGTACCATTTTGTACCCAAACCTACTGTGGATGGAAGAAATCTTGCACCAGCTGGTAGATGGTTTATCCTATTATCTATAGGGTTTCAACCATCTAAGGTGGTGCAGGATTTCGCAAGCATCCACAGTATCAAACAGATCAAACACGGCTGGAAGAGACAGACTGGAGCCCGTGCACCCCATGGGCCAAAAGGCTGTCCGTATGGCTTGATCGATGTTTGACCAGATCTGCCGGCATTTGTGGTTGCATGATGTCTCTATACATAGCATCATAAATTCCATGATATAAATCTATTGATTAAGTAAAGAAGCATACTGTACCAAGGAGTTTTGCAATATCGATAGGTGTATCCATATATGCATGCATCCATCCATACATCCATACATCCATACATCCATACATCCATACATCCATACACCCATCCATCCATACAAACCTACCTACCTACATACATACACACACACATACACACATACATACATACATACATACATACATACATACATACATCCATACATCCGTACATCCGTACATCCATACATCCATACATCCATACATCCATACATACATACACGCATACACGCATTTAGCGTGATTTACTCCATGATATCACCACCAACTCCCAGCATATTACCATGTTCCCCACGTAGAAACCAGGCGTTGGCATAGCAGATGTCACTGGCCCGGCAGCAGCCGCCTCGTCCTGGCAGCCTGGGGTCGCCTGGGGACTTCTTAATGGGATTTCACTGGATTTTGTTAGCCATCATTTTGTTTTAACATTTTATACCATTGTCGAATGATTGTTACCTCATCGTTAAATGGTATTAATGGTTAATATTGTTATCACTTCTTAGTGGTCATTGCTACTGGATTTACCATCATTTTGTTATTTATAAGTGATAACAATATTAACATTAATACCCTTTGGTAAATTGACAGTTGGACCCTGGCAACCACCAATTTTTAGTTATTTTTAGTGGAAACTAAGCATAATAGGTATATCAAGGGAATATCATCTGGAATATGGGTGGAAAACTCATGGAATATTGATGGAATATGAATGGATATACCCTCGGCTAATCAAACGTGGGAAAATTCCCGATAGATGGAGGTGTGAATGAAATAATCATCTATAAATGAGGGATTTTCAAGTTCCATTGTAATTGCCGGAGGGTATAGCAACTTTGAAATAGACAGCAGTTGAGCAGTGTTCAACACCCCGGTTGGTTGATGATTGGTTGGAGGATCATACTAACCAATGCAATTCCAATGTACTATATAATTGTAATTGTATATACGTATATATTTGTTGGGGATTCTCACAAGCCTTGATCGGGGAATTCGTATCAAACAAACAAGCACAAAAGGACGACATAGTATTTTCAACACAGCTCAAATCAAGTTACCATTGGCTCAGTATGTAGGATTTCGTTTCTTCTCTTTTTTGAAGCTTATAGTGCACAAAACTGGGCGTTGAATAAGAAACGATGAAACATGGCACAGCACAGGCATAATCAACAAATATGGTTGACATGGATTACCCTTTCATAATATGTATACGGCTAAGATTGGTTGGTTGTGTAAACACAATGTCTCAGTTAAAAACCACAGACCTAGAACGGGGAAAAAATAGGTATCTAGGAATTACAATGTAATATCATGCAATATAGTTTCTATTGTCTATCAAATTAAATCTGATATACCGTTTGGTAATCAGAACCGTTAGCTTTCAATTCCCCCACTGTAGTGAAAGTTTTTCCCATCCAACCCCCTATTTATATACTTTGGGGATTTAGCAGCCAGCCATTCTCGATTATTGGTTCATGTCGGTTCGTCATATCCCATATGATCCCACTTGTTTGATCTTCCCCACAAATGTTCAATGAAAATTTCAATATGAAACACTTCGAACCACTCAACGAATCCCAAGGAATAACACAAATGAATTTGATCAGCTGAGGAAGTGGTGATGATGGGCTATGCCGATCAAGATCAACGCGTGACTGGGATCCACATGCGTGCCTGGGCGAAAAGCGGCTGGAAAAAAATATCGTGGAGATAAGTTTTATCAAAACAACAACGGGTGATTTTTTAACCATGTGTTTCATTTGAACGTGTGAATCATTTAATGTATTTTATGATAAACTAATAACATAATAACAACAATAATAATACTAGTAATATTTACATATCATCATATATACACAGATTAAGAATAATGATAATCAACGTAATAACGATGTTATTTCATATATATATATATTTATTTCATATATATATATATATCATATTTATGATATTTATATATCCAGGAAATGATTGGTCTTTACCTAAACAACCCAATAAATTATGATTCGGTTATTTGATTGGTCGTTTCCTTTGGGTTATATTTCCGACATGGTGGGACATGACCTGCACGACTTGTGGTTATGTGTTTTCTAGTTCGTTTGGAAATTGTAGTCTGGTATGACGGGATGACTCAGAAATAGTTCCAAGTCAAACAACATAATGCAACTGGTCAAATTTCATCAAGCGGAAATGATGGAATTGTATGGAATTGTTGGCAACCCAGCTAGCAAAAAACTATGGCATGACCAACAAACAGTAAGTTGAGACAGCATACTTTATGTGAGTGCGTGTTTGAACATGATTGAACATGGGTGATGCTCAAAATGGCAATGCTAGCACGAAAGTGATGGTCAATTATATAATTACCCTCTGGCAAATAAACATAGACCCTGAAAATCACCAATTTTAATGGAACCTAGTCTTCCAACCCCTATCTGCCAGGGTCTACGTTAATTTACCAGAGGGTAATGGGTTATATGGATTCCAGGGGCCCAGGGATGCCACCACTTTTGCGACACAAAATTTTTCGACGAAAAGGGGAAGGATACCCTATGGCTTCTCGCAACGGCCTCACTATCATAATGGATCGTACGCGGTGCCCCAGGCCGATTGCTATATAAGTGGCTGGAAAACAAGGTCAACTATTGATTTTGTTTATTTGCCATAGTTGGCCATAGTTAAAGGGAGAGCTCTCAACCAACAAACAGAACTCGGGGGGGCAAACTCAACTATGGGTGCTTGGGATCCCCACCATTACCTCATTAAATCCAGCTTGAATCATCTTGAATCCTCAGTTTTTTGTTGGTGGAATCCAGCTTGTGGTTGCGCCGGTGGAGGTTTACACGCGCGTGCCTTTATTTTTGTGCATCCTGAATCCGACAAGTACCTTGGCTTGGATGGATTATAGGTAGGATGGGAAGTCTCATGCTGATTTCTGGGAATTTTCTCGCCTAAGACGAGGTGACTGGATGTTCATAGCAGACTGTTTGTTGATTTTATGGCTATGGGGTCCTTTTCTTCGACGAGTACAGTGGAACTATGATGAACTAAACTTTGACTTTGACTTTGCGCCCGCACGTCTGAAGACAGCCTATTTATGAACTAAATATATCTAAATACCCGAACAATTCTCTCCTGAATATCCCGTTAATATCCCATTGGTACCCCATTTATATCCAATTAATATCCCATTAAAATCCAATTGTTGGTGGTTAAGTCGCCATTTTCGTTGGTTTAAGTCACCATTTTTGTTGCTTAATATCTCATGTTTGTTGCTTAATATCTCATTTTTGTTGCTTAATATCTCTTTTTTGTTGCTAAATATCTCATTTTTGTTACTTAATATCTCATTTCAAATGGCCATATGTTTTTCCGGCTCCACGGCTCTGCTTCGGCCCAGGCGCATGGTCTACGTGGCAGTGGACACCTGGGCGGCCACCGAGTCGTTGATTCAGGGCCTGGAAAGGCGACTGCTGGGCGAGCTGCCGGGGCTCTACAGCAGGTACGGTGGGGTTCTTATTGGGTTCTTATGGATTTTGGTCATGGAAAATATCGGATTTCTGTTAAACAAATATGTTTAAACGGTTTTTTTAATGGATGTTCTATAAGTTTTTTTTTTTGGGGGGGGGCACTTTGATTGCGCATGGTTGAAAACTTGTGATTTTCCATCATTTTTTTAAGGGTGAGCCCCATAAATCTCAGCTATTGTGGTGGTAGAGCACGAGGGTTTTGACTTGTAGCCATATTTTGAAGATGTTCAATGTCCTTCTCTTGGATACACGACGGGATGACAAAAACCAATCCCGAGATGTTTGGTATTCATCGGACGTTTTGACAAACCCTCATACCACTGGCCTATGATATTTCCGTTGCAGTGGACGCAGTCGATGATATTTTGTCTTCACCAACCAGCATAGTGGAATGTAATGCCTGAAGGTTTTGAACACTGCTCATGTGAACATCAGAGAATACCTGAGATGACAATACGAAACAAAATTGAAGAGTAATAGGTTGCAGAAAACATATGTATATATACATTATATGTATATATACATTATATATATATAGCATTATAGCAAACAAAAATAGCAATACTATAATTGCAGGGGTGATGACAGGGAAAAAACCGTTTACTGTAAGTATCAGGCTCTATTGATGATAGGGGTTGAATATGGCTGGTTGGGTTGGTGGTGGGCAATAGGCTTTGCATAAGGCCGGCTTGTTTGGGAGGAATCACCCTTCCAAGGACACTTGGATTTAAAGGATTTAAGGGATGGAACAAAGACCAAGCATGTAAACAACACATGGCAATGTGCAAATACAAGTGTGCTATCACCGGTGTGCCATCCATGGCAATGGCATTCAAGAACCCAGAGGTGAGCCAAAAGGGAAAGACAGTTTTTCCAGATGAAGCAGTCCTCTTAGCATTCAAGAAGGTACACAATATCTGGTTGGTGGTTTGGAACATGTTTTTTTCTCCATATTTTGGGAAGAATAATCCCAACTGACTTTCATATTTTTCAGAGGGGTAGGTCAACCACCAACCAGATATACATTGCTTCTCGAGTAACGCAGAATATTTGGAAAATCCTTTTGACATCTCGATCAACCAAGCGGAGTAACTCGGTGAAATTCAGGCTATGATGGACGGGCCGAATGGCGAAACAGTTGTGTCATTTTATATGGACCGACGGCGAAAAAAGGATAGGTGGCTTGGAGCGTCGGAAATAGCAAAAGTTCACAACGCGGCTAGTAATGAAACAAAAATTCAATTTTCAGCCTACACGTCGGTAATAAAACGTGGCTAGAAAATACCCCATTATATCTGTATGTACATAGATAGATAGATAGATAGGTAGATAGATAGATAGATGGATGGATGGATAGATGGATAGATGGATAGATGGACGGAAAGATAAAATTATGTTTTCTCCCCATCTATAACCGTCCATTTGTTCAATGAGTTCCTGTTTTTTTGGACGAGAGGATGATGTACTGTTGGAGACCCGCACGGCTTTGGATCGGCACTTTTTCTGGCTTTGGGAAGTGCACCTTGAGTATTTGTTGGTTCCAATAATGATGGTACCCGGAATAATATATGTTGAGTTATTTATACGCATATATATCTATATATACATGTGATATGTGAATCTCACTTTGTTGGTTTAATCTGGTCTAATTTCCCAAGATTCGGGCAAACCAATCTGGAATCTCCAATTAAGATGCTTGAATCATACGTGAAAACACCATGTTATTCCTCAAATATTTTTTTGTGGTAAACTAACATTGAAAATGACCTATTTATAGTTGGTTTACCCATTAAAAATAGTGCTTTTCCATAGTTATGTTAGTTTACCAGAGGGTAATTTCTTGGTGATAAGCCAAGGATGCTCCTGGCATCCTTGTAGGCACAACGTCATCATCGGACCAAGCCACACACATATGGGGCCTGCTGGAATCAGCCCGTGACATGGCTTTAGAAAAAACACCTGGCGCCATCGAGTAACCTGCGAGGTGGCGCCCCACATATTATGTTTGTTGCTTTGCATATTACCCATAGGATCCATGTATGCTATATATGGTCACATTTACCATCAATATACCATACATGGATCCTGTGGGTTATGTTATGCACATAAATTGATATATTAATATATTAATATATATCATGCATGTTATAGTGAAAATTTTATCTAATTGAATCGCCATAAACAGAATCAGCTAGTTCAGCTACTTCGTTATTTCCACTTGGCTAGCGACCCGAGACCCCAGCTGACATTGTGTTGACCTCACCCAGTTAACTGAAAGGGGTGAAGATTAGATGTTTTTAATATGCATGGGATAATATGTGTCAATGTGGGGTAATATGGGTTAATAGTGATTCATAGTGATTCATAGGGTCATAGGGGTTTATAGTGATTCATAGTGGTTGATAGTGGGTTAATAATGGTTCACATTGTTTAATTGTTAATATATAATTGGTGTTACCACTTGAAGTCTATCACCATGGTTGACAGCTGCAGTGTTTGCATTCATGCAACATATCGATATATCACGTGTCCGTGTGTAGAACATTGAGGGGCCTTATGGAGGATTGAATGACTTCAACTTTTTGTCTAAAGACATAATGCCCTATCCAAGAATTTAATGCAGACCCCTGTAGCCAGATGTAGCCAAGTGATAGAGTCACTCTGAACAGCCGAACAGTTCATGACCTTTGTTCTCCCAGGTTGAGATCCACACTTTGAACGTTGGGACTTCTTGGGGAAAATCCCTCCAAACTATGACAATCTTTTGGCCAAGCACCATCCACATCCATCCCTTCGGTAATCGTTGAAAACATGATATAACCTGTCACTTAGTCATCATGTTTCCAATTAAGAGCATCCACTTCCAAGGTGAGGCCCCCTTAGATAGCCAAGGATGCTAAGTTGACTCATGGTTTCAGGGGCTTTAACATGGTTTAATATGGTTTAATTTTCGTCAATGTTAGTTTTATACCAACAAACATCACTCGGGGACGGCCTTAAATGGCCTCTCGGCTGGCGCAATCACCAAGGTACTACCTTTACCAGATCTCCTCCTTCGGCTATGTGAAGCAGTCCACGAAGGCACAACTTGACAAGTTGTGGAAAATTCTGGGTTTAAGCTGGGTGATTTTTGGTGAAGTGTCAAGATTTAACGGAGTAGCACCAACAACTTTCTGAAATTGAAAAATAGCACAAAAGTGCACTCTCACAATCCCGAACTCTCTTTGTTGATGGAAGGTTTGTTTGATTTTGGGAGTCGGGTGTCTTGGAGACGTGGTATGGTCCAACCACCAGAGGTTACACTGCAAATTGCTAAACTATCCAGGGGATTCTCAGGGGATTCTGGTGGTCTTTTTCTTAAAATGGCACCAGAAACCATAGCTTTCCCTTGTAAACACGACCGGTAGCATGGTGAACCCCCCGAAGTTGGCCAGGCTCTGATCGATGGCATGACTGCTGCTTGGCACGGCTTTCCAGAGATGGAAGATTTGAAAAACATCAAGACAAAAGGGAACAAACACACATTGGAGGTATCTACCATATATAAGGCCTATGTAAGGGGATAGAGATACCCCCCAAAATATGGCCTTATATGGTACAGTACCTCCATTTTTGGATCCTGGAATTCCCATTGAATTTATATACGTACATTTCTACATATATATATATATGTATATATGTGATACTATTTGCAGACAGAAAGAGAGATATATAGAGTATCTATACACATAACCGTACAGCCAGTTATTTTGGCATATTGGTCTGCGAATGCCTTGTTTTAGTTCCAAGGGTAAAATCTCTCTACTTGTGCTGGCTGTGTATGCTGCAGGTTCACCTAACATGGGGAATTGTCTTGCGCGGGAAAGCAATGTCCCCTTTGTTGAAACCAGCCAAAATTGTACTGATCATTTACCAACTTTCTTTTGGAAAGATGTGCCCGGCCGATTGTTGGTACTGTTAGTTGTTCATAGAATACAACGAATAGAGAGACCTACTGTAGATTTACTGATTGGTGGTTTCAGACATTCTTATTTGGAATCCTGACATGGGAAACACATCAGACTTTAGCTCATATCCAAACACACACACATATATATATATATATGTATACATACTTTATATGTGTATCTACATCTGCATTATCATATTTATGTATATACACTCTTTTGAACTAAGTTATTTCATCACATAAGTAATAATTAAACAATGTGCATTATATATATATATGTATATGTATGAAGATATATGTGCGTGTGTGTGTGTGTACTTTTGATGATATCTCGCAGCGGACATTCCTTCAGTGGGTTGGAGCAAGCCTGAAACTCATCCCAAATCTTGATGAAATCGCACTTCTTGATGGTAAAATCCCAGTCTTGATTGCTTACATTCCGGTTATCAAACATAGCAATGGACAATCACCCATGTACAAATGATTATCCCAAGCTTTAAACCTCCAATTTATAGGGGATTTCCCAGCTAGCCACTTTTGATGACACCGGAGGGGAAGTCCACAACAAAGGAAGCTGTGAAGATGGCGCACAACAACATCCGCCCCGCCACGGTCACTCTGGGCCATGGATTTGTTGACAACACCACGGTGCCCGGATGCCCCATGCCGCGACTTGGTTCGAAAGCGGGGGGTGGAGCAGTTGTGCAGCAGTTGTAGTTGGTTGCCGACTCGGCAGTCCGAATGTATAATTTGCATTATTATATATATATATATATGTATTTAATTTTAATATATGTATTTATATATATATGGGTATAGTATCGTCAAGATCTTTTTGCTGTGTTTGAGAACTTATAAAAACCATAGAAGTTGCGCACGTTTCATAGGAGTTGCGCACGTTCCATAGCAGTTGTGCACGTTCCATAGAAGTTGTGCACGTTTCATAGGAGTTGTGCACGTTTCACAAGCCCCCTATAACGTTCGTGTTCAACTGCTGCGGAATGGACTCAAAACCGAAGCTCTTAATGATACTATACCGATGTATATATATATATAATTTTGTTATATATAAATATAATTAGCTATATAATGCTATATATATATATTTACATATAGGTATATTCAGGTGTACATAGTTATACAGCGTGGGGCGCCCTACGTAGCTAAGTTGGGCTTTAACTATGATGATTGGGGCCTATGGTAGATATGTCGGACTAGTTAATGAGGTTAAACTTTCACACATTTTAAATATGTATGTATATATATATATATTATATATATATACATATGTACAGTGTTATGATTGTGCCTATATACCATTATTTCTAATTGTTTCTAATATCGTTTATTTCGGAACTATTGTATATACATGATGATTAAAATCCATGATCATCTTCATCATTTCTGAAACGACTGCAGGAAACTTGCTGGCGGGGAGGGACAAAAGCACTGGGGATATCAAGGGACACTCAACATGGAAGCCAACATAGCAACATCCAATAGGAAACTACCATAAACTACCTGATTTTCGGGGGTCCCATGTTGAACCAGGGCATATTCCTGTAACTTCCATTCTTGCCTGGTTGGAACATGTTGGAACCACTAGTCACTAGTCAGATTTCCGTTTGCGCATTCTACCCTCCAGGAATTTTAGATATGGGAAGTCCATCATTTGCAGATCGTTTTCCAAGAGAAACCATTGGTGTTTCCCATATTAAAAAATCCCGAATGTTCATGGTTAAATCCGTGTAATTCCTTTTTGTTGGTGGTGAATACACCTCCTTAAGTGACTGGTAATTCCTGAACCAAACCACCATGTCGATACATTGGCAATTTCACATAACTATGGAAAATGGTCATTTAATAGTTGATTTAACTCCGTTAAATAGTTTGTGATTTTTCAATAACAAATTGTTAAACAAAAACAGGTGGTAAATTATGATATCATCCCATTAACATCTCATTTAAATCCCATTAAATCCTGGATATGCTAACTTGATTGGATTGGTTTAAGGGAAAATTTACAGGAAACCATAGATTTTCCTATCAAATATGGGGCTGTCCTCTAGATTTTCCCTTAAACCAATCCATTGATAACTTCCTGGCTCGGCTGCACGTTTCCCCCCTGAAGGCATTGTGCCTCGCGCAACCGCAGCCCCACGGCCTACATGGAGAATCCCGCAGAGGAACGGGCCAACTACAGCAGCGACATGGTGCCCTGGCCTTGGGGTATGGGGAAGGGTCCTAAAAATTGGGGTGTGGGGTTCAGATATGTTAGGGAAACAGTTTGCGAACTGGAAAATCACCATAAGTCAAGTTCGGTAAATCATGTAAATCAACTATTTCTATAGGTAGTTTTCAATAGCTATGTAACAAATTACACAAGGGTAAGCTGTTCAAGACCATGATTTAATAGAATCTATTAAGTTAAGCAATAAAAATGATGAGCAATTTGGTTTTAAACCATAGAATTGGGACTGAAACATTCTAAGAAGTGGGATTTAAGTGGTTTTGGACGATTTGGTTTTAACGACTATATACTAACTAGTTTAGCATATAGCCACGGAAAATTGCAATGTTGATTGGATTAATTTACACATGGCTATGCAGAGATGTTTTGGTAGGATCGGAATACCGGGAGTTTTGGCTCCATCGGGCTGGGTTTGCGCATGAATGTGCAGTGTTTAAAATCATGATAAATCCTGTTTGTTGCAGGACATGTTTGCAAATCATGGTGCCCATGCACATGATGAAAATCCCAATGAAATCCCATGAATTAAATCCTCATGTCCTATAGGTTATCCTGTGGTTTAGACATGGATTGCATAAGATACGAAGCAAAAACCATGGATTTACATGTCATTCATCGGGATGAAGCTGAAACTCAAGGATGAAATGGACCAGTCCAGAGGCCAAACAACAAATCAGCTCCAATTTCTGTAGTTTATATATATATATACAAATAGATAAATATAAAAAATATATATACATATATATATATATATACATATACATATATGTTATATAATGTTATATATATACACAATTTTATGAGTATATATATATAAGTTTTGACTATTTTGACGAATTGAAACTGGATTCATATCATGTAGAGGGGACTTGATCAGAATAGTCCGCCTGTTTCTTGCATGTTTGGTCAGTGACTTCGGGTAGCACCGCCATCTGGGGTTCCAATGCTTAGGACTATGACATGGATTTGATCAAAATCGTGGATGCAAAGACGGGAGAGCCCATGGGCACCATGAATTGGTTTTCAGTCCATGCCACCAGCATGAAGAGCACCAGTGGCCTCATTTCAGGTGGAGAATCTGAACTTCCAATGTTTGGGGAGAGACAATAATGAATAATTAGATGCTGCAAGACATTTCACCAGGGTTTCTGGGAAGGCATTCAATACTGTGTAATTAGATCATGAATCTATATTGCGGGAAGGGAGTCTAATTCAGTTTGCTGGGTCTTTTGGTGGGTGGAAGATGGATAAAACATGGGAAGTTTGGAAGCGACTAAGGGCACTAAATGATTTAGATTGGCTATGTCCGAAGATCAAGCCAGGCTGTGAAGCCACTTGTGGTGTTCAAGTGGTTCCGACGTTTACCTCGCTTGGATGATTCATCCTTTTTTCAATCCAAAAAAACACATAAGTCTCGGGAAGATAGGCAGAACCTTGAGCCTGTAGGCAGCTGATCGTCAAATCCATGTCCCAAGAATCGAGCTGGAGCAAGCTATGCCACCTGAGCAGCTAAAAGCCACATACAATACAGTGCACAGGAGATTTTAAGGTGATTTAAACTCCTCATTAACTATACTTATATAGATACAACCCCATACAAGCCCCATAAACCTTAGTTCTTGCAGCTATAAAACTCCTTTTCCCGAACTATGGGGCACCACCCTTTTTTCTACCCCGTTTGACAATCAAACATGGCGGAGAATGACCATGTAGCTCGGGGATTGCCCAGCCCTTATCGTGTTGGATGACTTCCACCCGGGGGGAACTTTCCCATATCATCCCATGAAAAACATAAGTAATGATATACTAACCAGCATTGATACTTTCCCTATATATATATAATCCCCAACCCCTTAATGCTTGTTTTGGAGGGGGGGACCTACGAAAAGAAATATTTCAGTAATTTATGTATATATATATATTATATTTTTATATTTTTATATATATATTTTTATATTATTATATTATATTATAATATATTATATTTTAACATATATTAAGAAAATATAATAATATTTTCTGGGATAATCATCCAATTTGATGGGGCTTAATGGGGCTTGTTTGATGTTGTGCGCCTGTCCGGCGCCCGCTGCAGGTTCCAGGGGATAGTGAACCTTGAAACATTTGGACATGCATTGACCCGGACACCACAAAACATTATAAAACTCCTACTTGGACATCATTGGACATCAAGAGGACCAACTTGGAATATGTTTTATTTTCATCTATTTTGCAATATTTTACATATGGCAAGTTGAGCCCTAAGATAGATCAATACATATCAATATCGCTGAATCAAAAGGAACCAATGACATGCAACCTGTGACATGCAAAAGCCTGGAGAGCAGCCATGGGCTGGCTGGTGACGAAGAAGTGTAGCTGGAGCAGCACTCGCGTGGACTGCGGTTTGTGCTGCATTCAGCGCAAAGAGAGCAAGATTAGAGATTCTTTTCATGTCTTCATGTCTTCATGTCATTCTAATTCATTCTATGCTTGGAAGATTTTCCCAGAAATGTCCAAAATGCGCAGTCTCAGATGATCATGATGCATGGTTGCTGTCAGTCAGAACACCGCCTCACAACCAGAATCCCAACATATCAAAGCCCCTGCCACTGAGACTACTGGCATCATCCCGCGCATAAGAAGACCTTAGATTCGTGGGCCAAAGCGAACAATGTGGCGAAGAACTTGGGCCTGCCATCGCCACCTTCTCGCGCTGATGTTGCATCTTGGATCACATGGTTTTCCACTTGAGCAGACGTGAGCAGGTAGGTCCAAACGTAAGCATTTTTTAGTTCCTTGAAAATATGACAGGATGGGATCATAGGGCTACGTTAGAAGTACATGCAAAATCATGTGTAATCATGTACGGTAGAGGTACGGTAGAGGTACGGTAGAGTTTTCTTTCTCTACCGTACCTCTACCGTACCTCTACCAGCACCTGCATCGTAGCTCTACAGTATACCCCTGCAATATGAAGCATTATCAAGCATTATGAAGCAATGCCATGGGCCAAAGGGCTTGAAGTGTGGCGTGTGCAGTTCAGAAGTTGTGGCAGATATGGCAGGTACCCAAATCTATCCATAAATCATTATAAGATATTATAAATCTACCCATATCCAAGCACTTGCTGGAGTCATATCGAATGACTGCTTCCGAAAAGAGTCTCCTGGCTTCACGGCTTCACCCCCAACTGCGGCGCAGGATGGAAGTGGAGTTTTGGAACCTCCAGAGTCCTTTGCTGAGGGAGTCTTCATGCTGCAGTGACAAGATGTGATTAGATTGCGAATCGTTTTTGTTGCCGAACTTCTGAGTGTCTTCTGAGTGACAAGATGCTACTACTACTACTACTACCACCACCACCACCACTACTACTACTATGTGCTACTGCTACTACTGCTACTAGTACTGCTAATACTAGTACTACTGCAACTACTAGTACTGCTACTTCGACTATTACTACTACTACTACTGCTACTACTACTACTACTACTACTACTACTGAGTAGGAGTAGGAGTAGGAGTAGGAGTAGGAGGAGTAGTAGTAGTAGTAGTACTAATGCAAGTACTAACTACTACTGCTGCTACTACTACTGCTACTACTACAGCTCGTACTGCTTCTTTGCTTTCTGCTACGAGTAGTACGTGTTTAAATTCGGTCACAGGAAGAAGTATGTTTATTACTGTACCGTTTTGTTTTTGCATGCACCTGCGTGCATTCCCACCAACCTGCAGCTTTGCGCATTTGACAGGTGACTAGTGGTGCAATGGCGGACCCCGCTATGATCTCATCGGACGTTGCCTGGTTGCAGAATGTGGATGGTGACATCGCCCATGGAAGACACATGTGAACGCAGTGAAACACCAGGCAAGATGACCAGGTTTTCGAATTGCATTCTTATGTGTAGTATTTGCATTTCTTCCCAGCCCTCAACATAATTCAACATATGTGTACTTGCATTTTATGAGTACTGAGGCTCCAATGCTGGAAGACATGGCCCTCATGGCACCAGTGGACTCGCAGGCAAGGCTCCGTTCGCCATTGCACTATGTGCTCAACGAAAGGTAGAGTTGGGTGAAGGGAGGTGAGACGCAGCAGCCATTTTTTCAGCGGGGTGGCAAGGGTGCTTCCGTATATGTAAGCCTTTAGTAAACTGACAACACAGTCCACGGCCGTACATGGCCGTACGACAGCTGAAGTGCCATACAGAGAAAGTTTTGGAACGTTCCCAGCAAGAAATAGGCAACACCATATAGCACTACCGGAATGGAAGCCCCAAAACTGAAACCCAGACAGTCACCATGGCACAAGAACCACAAGGAGCACAAAACACGTCAAAACTAGCATCATGGCCCCACCATGATTTGAACCCTGGCTGTTTTACCATGTTTTACCCCCTCCCCCCCACAATGTGACTTTGGGAAAGGATGGGAAGGGGATGGAGTTACCCGCGGTTATGGGTGCCGTCCGTAAGAACGGGTAATTGTTTGGTAGGGCGCGTGGAGCCAATTTTAAAGGGAAATCTATACATACGGCTGCCCTATCCGCGGCAGTGAACGCTTACCCGCGCTTATGCGTGCCGTCCATAAGAGCGGGTAATCCTGGTGTATGTTAGTGTACTTTAGTTGGTATACAGTTGGATGGACAGATCTGGCACCCCAGGATTACCCGCTCTTATGGACGGCACGCATAAGGGTAAGCGTTCACTGCCGCGGATAGGGCAGCCGTATGTATAGATTTCCCTTTAAAATTGGCTCCACCCGCTCTACCAAACAATTACCCGTTCTTACGGACGGCACCCATAACCGCGGGTAACTCCATCCCCTTCCCATCCTTTCCCAAAGTCACATTGTGGGGGAGGGGGTAAAACATGGTAAAACAGCCAGGGTTCAAATCATGGTGGGGCCATGATGCTAGTTTTGACGTGTTTTGTGCTCCTTGTGGTTCTTGTGCCATGGTGACTGTCTGGGTTTCAGTTTTGGGGCTTCCATTCCAGTAGTGCTATATGGTGTTGCCTATTTCTGGCTGGGAGCGTTCCAAACCTTTCTCTGTATGGCACTTCAGCTGTCGTACGGCCATGTACGGCCGTGGACTGTGTTGTCAGTTTACTAAAGGCTTACATAATACGGACGCAGCCTTGCCAACCCGCTGAAAAAAATCTCACCTCCCTTCACCCAACTCTACCTTTCGTTCATCCCTGGTTACCTGGTTGCCCTCAAGTTTCCTGGGGTCTTTCGTCACGCTAGGGTGCAACATCACACGTGAGGATTCCAACAGTGTGGGTACATGTGATCACACAATATATCACATTATCACATTGTTTGACCAGCCTTGGAAACGTTAAACGCCGCCAGCAGCCTGCCAGGTGGATGCGTCTGAGTACCGGGCCTTTGCAGAGCATGTGCACGTGATGGATGTGAATGGTCCTCCAGCTGAGGGCTACTACAAGTGGCTGAAGGAACTTGTTCTTGATCAGGCCAATTCCTCTGAAGCTGAAGTCATTCGCCTGGACCAAGTGACTTGTGACCTTTCTCCTGGTGACGGACGGTGGCGTTGGGTCACACGAGAAACGATCCTGCACAAGTTCGAGCTATGGTCGGCTGGTGGGGCAAACTGGGGACCAACAATCCAGCTCTGTGGATCAGCCCCTTATAGCTTTGCATTGGGCACCAAAGGATTGGGAGCCTCCACTGCTACATGCAATGGTGTTTCTTGGCGAAACATGGCGAAACCATATCCACCCAACGTGATGTGATTTTGGAATATTCACGGTCGCTTCGCGACGAAAACCGCCCGCACCAAGTGTAATGGATAACATTCACATATGTTGGAGGATGTTTGGCCATGTTGAACGTTTTTTTAGCACTTATTATTGGGCACTTTTTAGCTCCGTATGAGGTTATCTTGGCCCCATATGAGGATATGTTGGCACCATTTGAGGCTATGTTGGCCCCATGTGAGCCTATCTTAAGCTCATGTTGGGCCTATGTTGGGCCTATCTTGACCCATTTTTGGCCTATATTGGCCCAGATCAAGAATTTTGACCCCTTTTGAAAAACATGCAAAAACACAGGGTTCTAGAGCAAAAATGCCCCCCCCCAAGCTAAAGCTTATTAGCTATAATGCAAGTGCTAACGGTTCACGCAGGCACACAAAAAACGCATCGGCACCTTCGGTGCGGGCGGATTTTGGATGATTTTGACATGTACCACTGAGCACGGCTTCTGTTCAGCCAGACATGAAATGATGCTGTTTCTATTCTAGTTTATGAGAAACCTTCCATGTCCAATGCATCCATGGGCGTGTCAGGCTACTTGACTCAGCGCACCCCTGCAGATTGGGCGAAAACCATGGCCAAGGCAATCCCTTGCAAGCTGGAGTCTTTGCAGCCAAAGCAGGCAGCAATGAGAGGCCTCAAGGAGGGTGTGCAGACTCAGGCATCATCCACAGGCTGGAATCCCTACTCTTTGGTGACCATGCAGCGAAGTCATTCAATGTCCGTGGAGGAGTTCAAAAAGGAAGTCAAGGCATTGATGCCACAGCATGCAAGCAACACAGCCCCTTGGCCATACCACATGATACGACATCACACCACATCCCGTGTCATCCGGTATGACAAAATCGTGACTTCATGATCTGCAGAAATTGGTTAACCCAGGCTGAAGTAAGATGATGTAAGCTCCAAACATAAGATTTTGCACCAACGAATTCATGTGATCATGTGTGCATTAGCAATGGAACCGACGCTGGAAAGACATCCCAAAGTCATTCAAAAAAGCTTGCAGCTTTTGATTCTTATTGGCAATGGATTGCCTTTGCTCATTGCATCTCATTGCTGAGACGTTGAAGCCTGTTGAAATACAATGAAACGCATCGCCAAGGAGCTTTTTCCCTGGGACGTTCTGTGCCACTTTGCACGCAATCGAGTGTCCGATGATGTACTCCGTATCCCTGCTCCTGGCACCCAGCTTGCCCAACAGGCAGCTTCCTGGACCAGATGCTTCACAGCAACGTGTGAAGACGTTTGCGGCAGATGTTGACAGCGCTGCCTTGCCCTTTTTGCGACTGACTGCATAGGAGCTGGGCCATGTTTTTCTATGTTTTTCTCAGTCAATCTCACTCATCGAATAGCACCAGGGCAGCCAATGATGTGCCATGATACATCATATTACATCATGATATTTCCGAACAGCTCAGATGCACGATGACGCATGGCAGCTCATCAGTATTTTAAATTTCCAAGATGGGCGTGGCATCAAGCTGCCCATGTGGGGACATTGTGGGGTCTCTTGGGGGGACTTTCCGAAGATGGAAAAAAGCTGAGCCAGATGAGACATGATCATGTCCGACTGGAGTGCAGGTCTTGAGTGCAGGTTTCTATTACAGTTCATTGACATGTGAGCCATGTATTTCACATCCTTTTACCATGGATTTCACTATAAGTTCTGGTTGCCGGGGGGATGGTTTAGAGGGGGGGGACCTACAAAAGAAATATTTCATTTTGTAGGTCCCCCTAGCTTAAAGGTTGGGGATTATATATATGGCTGGATATATATACACATACATGTGTAATAACATGCTCCGTATATACTGCCTATACATATATATATGTATATATATATATAGAAATTTAAAAAAAACAAATATGATAATATATATATATATATGTGCGTGTGTATAGGTAGTAAAATGTAATAGGCCATCATATCCCGTTCTTACCAGCTGGCTGCTTCCAGCCTCCTCAAATCAGTCCCACCAGTCCCTCTTGGCAGGTGACAATAAAGGCTACGCGGAGTACGCTTTCGAGAAGGCCTGCTGCCGCTGGGGTAGGCAGATGTTCTGCTGGATATTTTATGAATGTTAAAAAAGGCTGAGAAAATGGCCAGATGCGAAAATGGTGCCAACCTGGCATTTCCAACATGTTTTAGTTTTTTTGGTTCAATTCCACAGTCCACGAAAAAACTGTAAGTTCTCAGAAAATTGAGGGGCATGTGCTATGTGCCACCCTTATTTGAACGGGATATCTCCTCTCAAATCCTTTCGGAACCTTGAAAATCATCAATCGTGATTCAGTGATTGCCTAAAATGCGCTGATCTCTAAGTATGTACACACCAAGTTGAAGAGCAATCCACAAGCAATCATGAACATCAATCAAAGTATAGTGACATTGGGGACAGGAACATGGCTGGATCCACAAACCAATGACTTCAGATAACTAAATCTAGTCCCCCTTGTTGCTTGGCAGGTTGGTTACATCCAGGCAGGTGGCTAGAAAGGAAGTCAAAAGAGTGAAACCATGTGAAACGTACCTGGCAGGTGTAATCGACATGTTTGCTGGCTACCCTCTGGTTATTTAACATTGCTATGGAAAATGACCCATATACAGATGAATTTCCCATCAAAACCTCAATTTATAATGGATTTTCCAGTTCGCTATGTAAAATAACCAGATGGTAACTGCATTTGTTGATTGTTCGCGTTTCAAGACGTTCAGTTTGGTGAGTTCAATCCAGATCAATTGTTCCAGCCGCAGCATTTTTGGATGGTGAGATCTCCACATTTCGTGCGGCCCACAATGTCCATCATCCATCATCCCTACAATGTACATCCCCATGTCCATCCGAAAGTATCCACTCTGGTTATTTAACATAGCCATGGAAAATGGCCCATTTATAGATGGTTTACCTATTAAAAATTGTGATTTTCCATGGCTATGTTAAATAGCCAGATGGTAGATGTTTGTTCTGGTCAGAATCCATTTGTTTGATGTTTTTGATGGGTTCTTTGTGTCTAAAACTGCAATGATCCCCCAAACCGAATAGCCACCAAAAAACAATAACAACCAACATCAACAAACAAACATCTGTAAGATTCTGTAAGTATCCTTACATAAGCATGTGGGGCCCGCCAGTTTTAAGTTTGTGTATAATAATAATTAAGCCCTTACCTATCAAGGTAAACCACCAGATTGAAAGATTCAATCACCATTTAACTGTTGCTTAAAGCACCAAATCAACCTCTTGTTTTTGCTGACGAAACCCTGTGATTATCCAATGATACCCCATAACATATCACAATTTTTGTTGGTAAAATCCTATTATATCATATCCTTATGTTTGTGGGTCACATCCGCTGAAATCCATTTATAGGTTAAATTCCAATCCGTTTGTGGCTTATGAACCCCATAAACATTGAAAAAGAAAACGAAAATATCAGATGACATTGGCATTTACCCTCAAGGGCTGAGCCAGGGTTTAGCTCAGGTGATTATGGAATCATGGGTTTTGTCCCGAGGAGCTGGGGGCATAAAAGATCAGATTCCAGTAAACCCGTTATATATATATATATATCATATTTGTTGCTTATACCCCCCAAAAATCATTTAAACAAGTCAAACGTCACTAAGACATCTAAAACAAATCTTCGAAATCGGAAAGAAACAAACGCAATTCCCAAAAATCTGGAAAGTCACTAAAACCACATCTTCAAACACTTCGAAAGTCTTCCAAAGGCCCCAAAAAAAAACGCCAAAGACTCGCCGTTTCGGGGCCATGTCGTTTTTCCCAGGCCATCAACGGCCCTTCCTCCGTCCGTCCCGCCGGGCGCGGGCCCTTCGTGGCCGGCTTCGGCGCCGCGGCGGCGGGGGACATCTCGCCCAACACGGAGGGGAGCTGGTGCGAGGCGCGAACCCGAAACATCAGGAGGCATCGATACTTGGTGGCTCATCCCACTTAGTAAGTGGGTTATAACCCCAGTTAGAAATAGATTAACCCTACTTATCCCATTTATAACTGGGGTTATAACCCACTTACTAACTGGGATGAGCCACCAAGTATATATCTGGTCCATCTGGTTGGTGGTTTCAAGCATTTTGTATGTTCCAAAATATATGGGATAACCTTTCCCATTGACTAACTCATATTTTTCAAGATGGTTAAAACCACCAACCATATATACTAGGATCATTATGGCATTTACGATTATATATATATATATCAGAATATTGGCATGAGTAATTTTATTACTATATATAGTATTATAACTTTAGTATGAAATGAAGATGAGTTTAGCTATCACGAGGTATTAGGAGCTATAGTAACAAATATTACTATCGTTACTTCGTATTGCCACTATCATGTAATATACGATCAGGAGGTTATTATAATGTATTATTACTATCATTGCCTTCTAATATATCAAATAGTTGAAATCCAATAAGATCATAATAACAATCTAACTATTTGATATGGGTCTGTCTGAAAATGGTGTTTACCCATGTGTACCCCCAAATGGTACTTTTTTAGAGGTGCCATATCAGACAAATTCACATATATATATATATAAATTGTTGGTTAGTTTATGTTAATCATCACGAAGTAACTAGATACACATTTGGTATACACTTCAATGATATCATAGTCGGTGATTCAACGAGCTTAACTTAACTATTTGTAATATTGATGCAATTGGTTGGTTAATTAGTAGTATGAGTTAACTATGAGTAAGATATGAACATAATTAGATGAAAATCAGAGTTAAGTGTAGCAACCCATATTAAAGTTGGACAGCGAGAACCATGGATAAGTATGATTATGTATGTAAGTGTAAAAAATATATATATATAGTATATGGCTCTCAAAGCAGTAAGCCGTAGGTTAAGGCCAATTATTTAAAATGAGATGATGAAAACATGGAACGTGGAATATGATTCTCCAGTGCTGGATCCTCCCCAAATAAACCCGCCAGCGTGGTGCTGTGTCTAATTATATATTGCAATTTGTCGATGGCTAACGGGTGCAGAATTGTGACAACAGAAATCTATTGAATTGGTTTTGCAATGATGAAACCGACCATACCGTTGGTGTTGCCATGGGCAATGTCAGATTCTCAGAATGAAGACTAGAGTCCGGGGGATTCAATCAACGTCATTGCTTCTTATTAGCCAAGGACGAGGGCTTTTTTGGACCATCAACGATTGTCGTCACCTTTATAGCGAAATCTGCCATGCAGGGGGACGAACATTTGAGCCCCTCAGGTCACAGGGAAAAGTTGCGAAACAGCTCAATCTGCATCTCGGCTACAGTATTTCTGGGATGCACTCAGAATGGGGCTCTAATAGCTAGAGTTGATCATCATCAGCATCATCATCATCATCATTTTATTTTTCTTCGTCATCATCATCATTTTATTATTCTTCATCATCATCATCATCATTTTATTATTCTTCTTCATCATCATTTTTATCTTCATCTTCATCTTGGCGGTCTCAGAGGTCTACTGTTGATTCCAGTTTGGGGACATGGTGCCTGTGCGTGTGCACAGGAACATGAACGTTTTTGTCCCACCCCACCCCACCCCACCCCACAGCGAACGATGATGAAAGTGCGGTGCTTGTGTGCAGCAGGAAAAATGATGAGGGCGCCTAAGTGAGTGGAATTTTGGGTGCGCAAGTGAATGCGTGGCCGGCCCAGGTCTGCTACAACCACCATGGTAAGCCCAAGAACTCGGACTGTCTCGCCTGGGGCCCGGCGGGTCGAAATATCATCGAGTCGACCAAAATCATTGGAGAGAGGCAGTACTTAGCTGCCAGGCACCCGGGGAAGCCCGGTGGACGGCCATAGGGCTGAAGGGAAACGATGAACGAAGGCACGAAACATGTTGAAAGATGTTGAAAGCATGTTTTGAAACATCATGATCATGCGTCGACTAGACCCAAAGTAGGAAGGTTGGACAATTTAGGATGTTTTTTTTGAAAAACATGATGGAACAATTGGATGATTTCAGTGACTTCAAGAATTTCAGATGTCGCCCTTGTGACGGGATGCCAGGCCAACTGGGGCATCATCTTGGGGGCACTTTATGGGTTTTACCCTCTGGTAAACTAACAAAAAACTATGGAAAATCACAATTTTTAATGGGAAAATCTACTATAAATGGCCATTTTCAATAGCTATGTTAAATTACCAGAGGGTACCTATTTTCTTCAGGCGTTGGCATGTTTCTGGACTATACCCCCCCTTTGCGAGTTGAGTTTTCCACGGACCTGGAGATTGAGCACGTGTGCAATCGCGAAAAATCAGCAAAAACAGTTGAACAAATAGAAAATTATGAACAACACCTGAATGTTCACATCTTTGGGTTATATATTTTGCAACTAAACATCTGAACATATCTGAAGCAAATCACAGCTGAAAAAGGTTGGCGTGGAGGTGCAACAACACCATCCGCTGCCACTAGGCACATCTTTGACAAGACCAACATGTCGATTGGACACGGCATTGACTTTCGTACCCGTGGCATGGCTGGATGATGCTGGATGTGTGGAGAAACCAACGGGGTGCTTCAGTAGCAAATGGGGGATCGTATATTATCCAAGGGTTAGAACACATCAGCGTGTAGATTTGACTTGTGCTGCATGTATAGTTAACCAGTCTAGACATAGTGGTGACAGCAACACAGTGTGGTCACCCTAAGATACCATATTGTGCTGTGGTCGTTTTATCACTCCGTGGCATATTTTTTGAGCAACGACTTGAGGTTTCCCATACGCCTTTGTTATTCCTCTGGTGGTCATGGGTCATGGGTCATCCGTTGTCACAGATTTGGATGGGGGACTGTCAACACTGGGATACCATTGCTGTGTTAGTTACTAAGAGTTGCTCATATGGAAACCTCTTGTCCCTAAGAAAAACCATCCAGCTATCAGAGTTGCCCATTCTTCAAAAAGGGACACCGTGGCGAACGGCGATTTTTCGCCAACCTTGGTGAGGCGAAGCAGGTCTTAGGTGTACTGAAGCTCAGCTAACCCAGGTTATGTGGATATGACCCAGTACTCGTTCAAGTACGAGGCCTCGTGGGCCATCCACAAGGTTCATCGCTATGTGAGTTGAGGGACACAACTCGTTGCATCACAGTTACAGGGATTTCTTCTCAATTTACTATATAAATCTTTATAACCATTACACAAAAAGACATTAGAGATTGAGCCCTCAGTGCAGCTTCATTTGTTGGGGTGTGCCCTTTTCCCCTATTTGACTCCTACTATAGTGCTGCCATGAAGCATGGTGAAAAATGGGAATTGCACTTGCACCATCAAAAAGGATTAAACAATATTGAACATAAGGATTTAGCCATCAACGATTGGAAGTTTACCATATCAATCCATATCATACAATTGGATCTGACCAGTGCAGCAAACATCGTTGTACTTACTTCTAGTAGCCATCAAACATAGAGATCCAGCCATCAAGAACATGGACACCGCCATCCAAACTGGTGACTTAACCACCCACAAAGGTGGAGATTGGGGGGAGTTGATACCCGTAAAACGGCAACCAAAGAGGAAGCAAAGCACCGAAAATAAAAGAACGAACAGGAATGCTTTACCAGTAAGAATGCGAAACCGTTATATCACTTGTTTTGCCCTCTGGTAAACATTTCCGTAGCTATTGAAAATGGTCATAGAAATAGTGACTATACTTGGTGGCTCATCCCACTTAGTAAGTGGGTTATAACCCCAGTTATAAGTGGATTAACCCTACTTATCCCATTTATAACTGGGGTTATAACCCACTTACTAACTGGGATGAGCCACCAAGTAGTGGATTTTCCCAGCTATAAAATGGGTGGATTTTCCATAGCGCCATATGGCCAGGACGGCCGCAGTGGTCGCACCTGCCCGCCAGCGATGAGTACCACCTTTGCAGCGGGCACCACCGATGGGCCCAGCAACGTTGATGAATTTGGACAGAAACTCTGCATGAAATGTCTGGAAAATGCCTGGAAAAATTGGACATTGGGTTTAATGAAGGGTTTCATGGGGCATAATGGAGGTTTAATAGGGGCTTAGTGATGATTTGGATAAAATGCCTGGAAAAATGAGATTGTCATAGGGGTTGACTGGGATTAAATGGGACTTTAAGAGGGATTACTGGAACATGGCATTTTTATAGGGTTTACTAGTGAGGGATTTGAATTGTGTCAAGTAGGAGTTCAATGGGACTTAATGACTTAATAGGGTTAATTTGGATTGAATGGGATTTTAATGGGATTTAACGGTTTAATGATTATTCAATGGGATAACAAAGTGTTCCCCCTGGATGACATGGCTGGAGAATGGGACTTAAGAAGTTATCGGGATTATGTTCATTTATTGGAGGCCATCTCAAATCCAAGTCAATATAAACATGTACATGAAGCGTATGGGGGAAGAAGTGGAATCGTTCATCGCCAAGTCTTCAGATAGAAGCGACAAGAATGGCCCAGAATTGACGTGTTTCTGCTCGGTGTTGCCGACATCCCAATCCCATCCGGATGATCCACCCTTTTGGCTCGGCCTCAAGGAATATGACCCCGACCAACGGCTTCTTGCGCTTCTTGGGGCATTTGATTTCTTTGCCACCGGAGGAAGCAAAGAGGCAGCGGGGTTCTGCTTGGTCGGCAAGATGAGGCATGTTGAATCTGTAGAATAGATAAATCATCTGTAAATGATTAAATGATCTGTATAGATAAATCATCTGTAAATGGGCAATGTTCAATAATGTTTATCAATTTTCCAGAATTATGTTAGCTTACCGCGGGGTATGCTATGTTGTATCCAATTCCCAACATGACAAGAACTTCGATGGGAGGAATGGACGTCTCATGGAACCATGGCTGGTTGGTGGTTTGGAACATTTTTTATCTTTCCATATACTCTCTGGTAAACTAACATAGCTATTGAACATGGCCCATGAATAGTTGATTTATTACCTATTATTAAAAAATTACTTTACTTCGTGTGATCCCCACCATGACATTTATACATTTTCTTACTGGCAAATCTTCTGGCATTCTATCTGACATATCTTCTGACATTCTATTTGGCATTCTATCTGGCATATCTTCTGGCATATGATCTGGCATATCTTCTGGCATATCTTCTGGCATTCTATCTGGCAAATCTTCTGGCATTCTATCTGGCATATCTTCTGGCACTCTATCTGACATATCTTCTGGCATTCTATCTGGCATTCTATCTGGCATATCTTTCTGGCATATATTCTGACATATCTTCTGGCATTCTATCTGCATATCTTCTGGCATCTGACATATCTTCTGGCATTCTATCTGGCAATCTGGCATCTTCTGGCATATCTTCATATCTTCTGGCATATCTATCTGGCATATCTTCTGGCATATTTTCTGGCATTCTATCTGGCAAATCTTCTGGCATTCTATCTGGCATCTGGCATATTATCTGGCATTCTATCTGGCATATCTTCTGGCATATCTTCTGGCATATCTTCTGACATTCTTTCTGACATTCTTTCTAACTTTCTTCTGCACATTCTTTGTCCCATATCTTCCTACATGAGGTCCGGCAGGGAACACTTGGCGTGGTCGCGGTTGAGGTCCGGCAGGGAACACTGGGCGGATGGTCGTGGTTGAGGTCCGGCAGGGAAACACTGGGCGTGGATGGTCGTGGTTGAGGTCCGGCAGGGAACACTGGGCGTGGATGGTCGTGGTTGAGGTCCGGCAGAGAACACTGTGGATCGCGGGTCGCAGTTGAGCAAGGACGACGAGGAGGACGAGGAGGACGAGGAGGAGGAGGAGAGGAGGAGGAGGAGCAGGAGGAGGAGGAGGAGGCAACTGACATAAAATCTAACAACCCTCACCTGGCAGGTGGGGAAAAATGTGATTTTCCATAGTTATGTTAGTTTACCAGAGGGTATTGGGAATTTCATCATCCCAACTGTTACTCACTCCATCATTTTTCGGGGTAGGTCAACCACCAGATGGGCATGGCCAAAGTCAGAAAAACTTCCAGTCAGCTCCATGGCGTGCTGGACCATCCCCCAGCAGTTTGAAGATTTTCCCAGCTAGAAAGCTACTGGGGCGCCACAGGGGCTTTCCAGCGGCCCGCCATGTTTGAAGACACAGTTAAGGATAGTTGGTGCACTATGGTGCACTTTGATCAGGAACGATAGAGACCATGCTGCGTTTCTGAGGCTTCCAAAGTTGGGTATTAGAAATAGAATCAGATTTGTATCCATTATTGATAGTTCATGTCCCAGTCTGGCTGATATTGTGTTGTTCATTCCTGTTAATGACCACCTATATCAGCAACTCCCTGCATGTATCTGAAGTGCTTAAGGGTACCCCGATTGGTAAGTACTTTGTTGTTGGATTGTGAGCATCGGATTTCGGCACCGGCACTTGCTAGTGTGGTAGACCAATGCCCGCCCTGAACCGTATCCCAGTTTACCACAAGCATCAACAAAAATCATCGAAACCATGGTGCCATTGGGCCATTCCACATGGCTTGGAACAGGTGCCATGCTCCCAAAGACATCTTGCTCTACACTGGTCGAATGAAAACGCCATATGATTACATGTGCCGCGGGCCGCGGGGGGCTGATGGAGGTGGATATGGCAAGATCCTGGAAAACCCAGAAAACCCGGCTTCGTTGATGTCTCATGGTGGCTCAAGATATACACCATTGATGTTTGCAGTTTTTTTTTCATCAGCTACCTATGCTTGGAATGATGGACCCAATTTGACCTGTTCTTCCAGTTTCAGCTTATCTTTTGAATAGTTAAAACTTGAAACCAACCAGAGCCATATCTTGTTGAATCGCATAGCCGCATAGCTTGAAACCGATGCCGACATGGCTTCCCTCCAGGATGATGGACTCCTTGATGCTGCTACCGCACCATCATGCGTATGGCATTTGATTATTTTTTGGATTTTTTTGGAGGCTGAAGATGCAGGCTTTAGACTTTAGCCTGGTAACATTCTTGTGGAAAACCAGCCTGGTCACATGCTGTAGTTCTTGTCATGTGAGTTATATGTTGATATTTCGTCGATAGCCAATTGCTGCTAACCTTGCATGCATCCGCTAACATCCCTGATTTGATCCCATGATTGTTAGATCACCATGATTGTCAGATACCAACGGTTTGATCATGTTTTATTTTTAACTATGGTTAACTAAGTTAACTCCCAATGTTTGATGGTTAGATCTCCATTTTGTGCTGGTTGGATCCGTTAAATCATGTGAATTTTCTACAAATTTCCTCAGTTTTGATGGTTAAATATTGTTGAATATTGTTTAATAAGTTCAATATTCATGTTATCATCTGATTTGTTGGTTAAATATTCATGTTTACCATCTGATGTGTTCCCAGTTTCGCTCGTTTCCCAGGCCTTCCAAGATGGCTTTTCAACTGCTCCGCCTGGGAAATTTGATCATTGCCGGCGTGCCAGGCCTGAGTTTTTCGAGGTCAGTGAAATACCATCTGGTTATGACTAACATAGCCATGGGATAGATGGCCCATAGAAATAGATGGTTTACCGAACTTAAAAATGGGTGGATTTTCCATGGCGAATTGTTAAATAATCAGATAGTATTAGATTTTTTTCCCAATATATTGAGATAATTCATGATATGGAACCATGGCTGGTTGGTGGTTTGGAACATGAATGGATTATGACTATCCATATGTTGCTTACTGGTGCTAAACGTAGGGAATGGATGGGTTGCTGGGGGTTGCTGGGATGATTACTAGTGATGAAATGGATCATTCCCGAAAATTCCCTGCGTTTAGCACCAGTAAGAAGATATTGCGATAATTCATGATAATTCAAAATGTTACCCCATTGTTGTGGTCGCCTTATGGGATAGTTTCCTAGTGGGTTTACCACATGGAATGCCAAAATACCTCATACTTGGAATATAAAATACCTGATAATAAATTATGCTGATTATACGAGGTCATTTTCCCCAATCATATTGTGGATCAGATGATCATCATCCACTATGGGAATCCTTATTATAGTAGACAATCAGTACAATATGAAATGACGGAGGGTTTTGAACACTGCTCATATGAAAGAATCATGATCATTTGTGCCCAGCTCTGCACAAATAGCTTCAGGCTCATGTTTTCCACTGCATGGAGGCACACTTTCCACTGCATTTGTAGATGTTGTTTGCTTTATTTTTCATGGCGGTTTTCCAGCTCGCAAACTGCGGGCCATTAGCAGGAGGTAGTTATAACATGTTATAACCAAATCATCCCAAATCAGTGAAATCCCACTTCTTGGAACGCTCCACTCCCACTGTTTATTGTTGGTTAAATCATGTTAAATCCTAATTATTCATCTTTTTTGCTAGTTGGATCCCATTACATCACCATTTCTTAATGGTTAAATTACCATCTTTTCCGGGTAAAAAAACACCAAAACGCATCGAGGCGAGTTCACGACGATGGCCGGGAGACGCACCGCGAAGGTGATCAAGAAAGCTTTGCTGGACAAAGGACCACCAGGGTCAGGGCACCCCAAGGTATCACCGCCCCGGGTCCATAGGGGGTAAGGAGTTCATGGGGAACCATGATTCACCATGAGGAGGCACCAGCTGAAGTATCACAAAGAATGTTTGGGAAGGTGTAGGTTAGGCAAGATATTTCAGTAACCTTCCCGGTGCAGGGAGTGCCCGGCGCTCTTTTGTTGGGACCGGCACCATCCTGGCCAAACTTGCGTAGGTGCCTACCACCAATGGCCAACGGGCCCATACGCAAGTTTAGTAACATCATATGTTTTTAACATAATTTTCTCATGTGGCAACCTCAGGGAATGAGTGTAGACCGGCCCTTCAGACCCAATCTGAGTCTCAAAGGGGAGAAGTAAGGCAGGAGGAGGAGACACACGCACACACACACACACGCGCGCGTACATAAACTATATCAAGCTTGTATGCAGTACTAAGCCAAGGTATTGAGACTTGGTTTTGCAAGCTTAGTGGCCTGCATTTGTTGCTGTACCTGGACGACAGATGTGGAGAGATGATTCGGGCCCTCCGGTTGATTTCTCTGTGGCCCATGTCTGTCAAAAGTAACGAATGACTCATGATATTATGTGTATATATATAATTTATCGATATGCATGTGCAAGTTTACATTGCATATGTAACTACAAATATATGTTTACATGCATGTGTGTGTGAAAGGTATACAATATTTGCACACACACACATATATATGTATACATATATATATGCACACACACACACATATATATATATATATCGCTATCCAAGGCTATTCATTTTGATTGGTGCCCCGTCCTTGAATCCAGGAGTTGTGAGCCCAGACGCGCGTGTAGTGATCAACAACTGTGCCAGCGGATATGCAGCTTGGCCATGCCTGGCGTGGGAAAGGTGGAGGTGTTCATGGGAAAAACAACGAGAAATGAGAGACGAGAGATTGTCCATTGCCACTATAGTAATGAACCAGTAACCTGGGGAATGATTAACGATAACTTTTGGGTGGTGAATAAATAGATGTCCTTTTGCCATTGCTGGCTTGATGAAAACAGAGTTGACAGTCATTTATCACTTTTGATACTTGAAATCCATAGATTTTCCATTGCCTTCATCATTTTTGGTGGTTAAAATCCCATGAAATCACCAATGGTTGGTGAAATCCTCATGAAATCCATATCCCAAACGATCCCAAACGATCTCCGGCTTCAGCTCAGGCCGGCTATGTGACCACCATCGAGGAATACCAACATCAACGCTACGAGGGCGGCAGCACGGCCTACGGTCCGCACACGCACGGGGCCATGACCAACATCCTCCGCGAGATGGCGGAGGATGCGGCGGATGCCCAGGGGGGACAACTGTGGGGAACATATGGAGAAAATGATGGGAAACATCTGGCAAGATGGAGAGAATCATGGGAGAACATGTGGAGATCATGTGAAAATTGTGCAAAATTACAAGAAATTACATGGAGTCATGGGAAAAACATGCGGAAAACAATGATGAAAATGGGGAAATCAAGGAAGAACATGATAGATATATGATATATATATATATATATGTGTATATATATATATATATATGTTATAGATATAGATATGATAGGGAAAGATAGGGAACATGTGGACATCATTTCAAAAAATCCTGGGGTCGGTGAATCATGCCCAGGAGATGGCCGAGGGCAAGGTCTATCGCTGGCCTGGCGCACAGCCCAGGATCCCCACGGAGCGGCAGATGATGGAGGGCCAGCTGCTTGGATGCCACGGGTTGGTTGACCAAAAGCTATGGATTTCCCTTACGTTGCCCCAAAGTCCATAGGCATTTCCCCACCAAGGTCTTGGGAAAGTACATCATTTTCGCGGTTTTGGATACTTAGGGTTTGAGAAGGTCGATTTTAAATGAGTTTAATGAATCTACGTCTAGCTCTTGCGGAGTTTGGGGGTTAGTTACTTTGGTTACTCTAGTTATTCTTATTTGATAAGATTATAGGGATGAACTAATGGGGGCTTCAGAAGGTTTATAGCACCCCCCCATCAAAATACGAGAAGATAGGTCAATGATCAATGATCCACAAAATAGGGAACCTGCGGGGAATACATCAACCAAGACACGAAGACATATATCAAGCAACATTGGATATACCGTAAGATACATCAATCCTAGATTTGATCACAAACAAATTGCGATTGGATGATAAACTTTGACGGGTTATTAGTTGAGATACAACCCATAGAGATTCAATAAGATTTAGTGGGATATTGATGGTGATATGAGGGGGATGTATCATAAGATGCCCCCATTAAGATGCCTAATAAAAGGTAAAGATTATGTGTACCATGGGATGCATATTATCTATATGAATAAACAGCTAAGATCAAACTCTAGTTGTAAGATGTTGTAAGTGAAAAATCACATATTAACCCATATTAGCCCCGTCTACATCCATCTATAGTAGCTTAGTGTAGTGGTTTCACCATAAAGCCAACTTATGCACCACCTTCTGGGGTGAGATTTGGGGTCTGTTTTGTTGTTGGCTGTGGGCTGCTACTGTTTTGGAGGAGCCAACGTAAGTGGAAAACGATCACATGCGCATTGAAGAATCATCAAATTTAACGTTAAAATGTGGCTTGAAGAACCACAAAAAGCCTGGTTTTTCATGAATGTTCAGAAGAAAAATGAAGAACAATGTGGAGCTGGTTGGTGGTTTCAAACATTTTTTATTTTCCATTTCATATATGGGATGTCATCCTTCCCATTGACGAACTCCTCATATTTTTCAAAATGGTTATTGCACCACCAACCAGGGAGTCAACATTCAGAAAGGATGAAGAATTCGCCTCTGGCCATGATGCATGACCAAGAATTCGCCTCAGGACTGACGTGGTGGCAGATGACCCTCCAATTGGTGCGCACTGGGAGTGGTTGAATCATCCTCGTCACGTTTGATTCCTCAAACTTAATAATTACTTATTGACAACACACACACATATATACATACATACATACATACATACATACATACATACATACATACATACATACATACATACATACATACATACACATATATATATATAATATTATATAATCATATATATATGTGCATATATAATGCATATATATATATATATGCGTGTATATATATATATATGCACATAAAGGCGTAAACATGTTTGTGACAGCAACAATGCACGTCTGTGTCCGAAGCAGCCAGATTTGATGATACAGTACAACGTGCAACTCGTATCCGTATTTACCTCGAAACGGCTTCAGCGAGAGGTTTGGCAACGACGGTTTGGGAATCCATTGTGTTTTCTTCAAATATATGCATGCAATAATTTCAGCATGGGTCAGTGGTATCTTAGTACCGTTTAAAGTGATCACAACAGCTTCAGTAGGGTTCATTTTATGGCCATTTCAGGTACCTAAACTAGAGGTACTGTGCCATATAAAGCGCTATCTTGGAGGTATATCCCCTTGCACAAGCCTTACAAAAAAATGTAGGTACCTCCAATAAATCGCTTCCTGAATTGGCCACTGATTTCATGAAGATATCATGATATAATTAGTATAGTATGGTATAGTATAGTATAGCATGATATAGTCCACATGTGTGACATTCTCGAATTTCACTTTTGTTCACTGCATCTCCTTGCATCTCGTCACGGCAGGTGGAAAGTTTGGTGATGTGAAGAGCGATGTTTGGCCGTACTACTATCCGGGGTCTACAGCTCAGGCGGAGATAATTGGGAGATGATGAAACCATCAATCCATATGGCTGGTGATGGTTTATGACATTGCTTTTAACATTGGCATGAATTAACCATAGGCACCATCAGGCCACATGTCCTTCATTTGCTTTTGCCTCAGATATGCCGTTTTTTAAACTAATCCATGCGTTTCCCTGCGCGCAGGCTGTCATTTGGGGTGCGCATCCACGCAATAACTTGCGTCGAAATTCCAGCTTCGTTTCTGTCTGGCGTCTGAAGGACGGGCGTGCTGTGATTGGCCCGTCGAAGGATGGTGATTTTGTGTTACTGATCCACCGGTACGATTTGTCCATAGGGATACCATGGGATATCTGTAGATAAACAACATAAATAGATTGCTAGAACCCGATGCCAATCATGAGGAGAAGAGTTTCAAGAGTACATATTATATATATATATATATATTTACATAATATATATATTATATATATACACATTATATACATTATATGTGTATATATATACACATATCTGAATGAAAGTAATCCGAGTCGGAATTTGGGATGCCAACATTGGCGTATCCATATCCTCAAGTGGTTACCTGGCAATCAAACATGGCAAGCCGGGAAATTCCCGAACTAAATGGAGGTTCCAGTGGGAAAATCATCTATAGCGACGGACAAATACTTAGAACATCATTTGGAAAAAAATCTGAAAATCGTCACAGCGGGGATGTTCTAAGTATTAAGTCGTTAGAACATACCCAAAACCTATACTTAGAACATTTCCAAGCTATACTTAGAACATCCCAGTGGGGAACCAATAATGAGGCATCTCCAAAACATTCAAAATTATACATAATTCATTTTAGCTCATTTTAGTATTGAAACCTATGCTTTTTGACTACCCGCTGTAGGAAACCCACAAATTATATACTAGAGACCTTCCCATTGCAGCGAAGACTGCTTGGGATATTGTTCCCGAAGAAAAGGTATAGAATGCTGCAGCAGTGCGGGGAGAAAGTGTTCTAAGTATGGTGTTCACCAAGGTATTTGCGTGTATATATGCAGATTTACCAAAGTAACAGGACATGTTCTAAGCATATGTGTGTTTAATGTTCTAAGTATGCAAAAAATCAAAGGAGATGTTCTAAGTATCTGTTTTTCTGATGTTCTAAGTGCGTACTTAGAACATTTCTGATGTTCTAAGTGTAGTTGTTTTGATGTTCTAAGAAAAGGTTTCGAAATTTTGGAAAAATGATGTTCTAAGTATATGTCCGTCACTATAGAACAATTAGATACATAACGCACCCCATATGTGCCCCCTAATAGCCCCTTTGGATTTGGGCCATACATTTTATATGAAAGGGGATGGGGCTCCCTTTATCTTAGAATTGATTCAGGGGAAACTGTCTTTATTGATAGTAAAACCATCATTTGCGGGAGATTGTTCCCGTCAATCCGTTCACTTTAGCACAGGACTATCATTTTTCGAGAACGCGTGCTCATAGGGATGTAGTTGTTCACATGCAATGTGGATAAAACACAGCAAATTACAGTGTATATAAACTGCTTATATCTGTTTATTATTGTCATTATCATTATTATTATTATGTATATACGTGAGTGTGCGTGTTGCCTTTTAGTGCTTTGAAACCTAGGTAAAAAAAAACATGTAGTGTTTGGGGTTACCTTACCCCATCCACCAGCTGCAAGGAGGACGGCACGACCTGGCATATGGCGCCGACCCCAGTTAGTTCAGTGGGAAAAGTAGGGGCAATGTACATTTCTAACTGGGATGAACTAAACCACCTACTACCCTCTGGTAAACTAACATAGCGATTGAACATGGCCATTTATAGCTGATTTTCCCATATAAAACCATATGTATATATATATATACTTAAAACCATATAGAACCGTTGTCAAAGACATAGGCCACCAATGAGTTATGGTTACTTAATCACCATATACCTCAGCCTGATGGTCAACCGAGATGAAACTGCTTAGATGGGCCATGGATTTAGTTAACTACCTAGTAAATGGGTTAGAACTGGGATTATAGTGGGTTGATGTGGGTCATAACCCGCAAAAACTAATCAGTTACTGTAGCTTATGCCATTGCCCCATAAAATGTTCCCTATTGCCCGAATTGCCCTGTTGCTCGTTTGAAGGTCGCAGATGACAATGACTGGGAGCTGCGCTTTGAGTGGAGACGCGTAGGCCAGGGCCGCGTAACATTCCAGGCCCCCATAGGATCCCATAGGGCCATAAACACATAGAGAGGCACTTACAAGGTGAGGCCTCCTTAGATAGCTAAGTTGACGCACATAACTTGATTAACAAGGGTTCAGGGGGGGATGTGCGGTTCTAAACCAGCTTATAACTGTGGAGTCTCACCTCGTAGAAATGCAATCAAAATGTTTTGGCACTTTAATATCAAAAAGGCATTTTTCGCCACCTGCCAGGTGAGGGTCTCTAGATTTTTACAGAGGTGCAACTCGTTCTCCTTTTATTCTCCTCGTATTCCGCTACTACTCCTTTGTGTCCTCCAGTTCGTCGGGAGTTCGCCCCTCAGATCCCCATACACAGGTATCTCAGCCAGTACCGTGACCATCACCTGGGACATTCCCGAAGACTACCCTGAGGGGAGCTACAGCTTGTCCCTTGGCGATGGTGACCCCGAGGTTGACGTTTCGGATAATTTTGATGAAATTTGGATGGTTTAAACTTAAGATGTTAAGATATACTTAAAAACAAACAAGATGTTAAGATGTGATATGATGTTATATGATATATGTAGTTTGACTATGTGTAGATACAGGTATATGTGTATCATGATAATTAATACATACATATCTAATCCATTTTACAATGTTAATCTTATAGTTGTTGTTGGAAATATCTCAACATATGTGGATGATGATTTTCTTTGGTTCCATTGGTGCCAGGCCGAAAAAGGGGAACACAATGGTCCCCATGTGGAGTCGGAAAAGATGATGTGCTGTCGCTGACCTAAAGAAGGCTATAGAGGGACCAGTAATCCAACATAATGGTGATTAATGGAATTTAATGGTGATTAATGGGAACTGATTGGTGATTAATGGGGATTTAACCAACAGAAATGGGGATTAGTGATGGGAATTTACCCCAAATGGTAATTTGTTACATAGCTATTGAACATGGCCATAGAAATAGTTGATTTACCGAGTAAATATGGTGATGTTCCATTGTTATGTTAATTTACCAGAGGGTAAATCTAATGGAACCTGAACCTGCAAATCAATGTTTTTCCATATTTTCTCTATAGATGGATATTCTTGATATTCCCAGAGCTACTGTAAATGATCTTCCGGCCATGTTTACCCGAGTACCTTGTAACAAGCCTTTCTGGGTGGTGGTTTGGAACATGGCTTTTATTTTCCCCAATAGTTGGGATGATGATCCAATCTGACTATATCTGACGAACTCCACCATTTTTCAGGGGGGTAGGTCAACCACCAATCAGGGTATCATTAACCATCATTAACCATATAATAACCATTAATATTAACCATATATTAACAGTATATATTCCATATATTGGGTAGGTCAACCACCAATTAGCTTTGGTAGGTGCCCAAAAAAAAACCCAAGCAACCAGGCAGTACAACGGCGAGGCCAAGCATTTATCGAGGATCATGAAGATCTCAGGTGGCTCGACCTTCCCCGGCCTGGTCAACGTCATAGCTATGGAATTTCACCATGTTTAATGGGAAAACTCAACTATTTCGACTGGGCCATGTTCAATAGCAAACCTGTTAGTTTACCAGAGGGTACTGAGTGTTTGCAATTATGTTGGGATGGGTCAACACCTATAGTAGAATTACACATGATTATCATATTTGGGATTACTATATCCACTTTACCAGCATATTTGATAATCACTGGGTGGTAGGTATACCAAGGAATTGACCCATAGCTATAGTGCATCCATTTTGATGGATGAAGATCATGCAGAGGACCCTAATTGGTATGATATTCCTCTATGGGGGTTGTCTGGAAAATATAGGGTGTACCACCAGAATAACCGTTAAATATTATACAAACATACATATATATATATATATAGAATATGTTTATTTAAATATTGCATAAAAATATGCGGAATATGATGATTAAGCAATGGAATGCAATGGATTTAATCAAGTTGGGATGCAAACAAAATTATTCAAAACTATGCTATCCTATCATGGGGGAACCCTCTGGCCATTTAACATAGCTATTGAACATCGCCGTTTTTCAGAGGTATGACTCGTCTATAAGTGAGTAATTTTCGCTATCTCAAATGACCGGAGGGTCTATGAGTCATGGTATACCCATTTGGGTTGCCATGAGCTGGGCCAGCACTTCGAATCCAGCAGCTATCACCAGCTGATTCTGCAATAACATGACTGGTTGGTGGTTTGGAACATGAATTTTATTTTTCCATACATTGGGTGAATAATCATCCCAACTGACGAACTCATATTTTTCAGAGGGGTAGGTTGAAACCACCATCCAGGTTCAGATGACATATACCTTCCGGCAATCAAACATTGCAATGAAAAACCCAGCAATTTATAGATGGTTCTTTCTCTAAAACCTCCATCTAGGGATTTCCCGGCCACGTTTGATGACATCGGAGGATCGCGGAGGGCAAGCGGATCCATAGGTAACGTCCGCGACAGTTATTATATATATATATACAAGAGTAATAGATGTTTCGAATAAACCACGCAGCATGAACCTCCATAATCATCAACTATCGTGGGCCTTTTTGCTATAGTAATGTATATAGTATATATACATGTATCCACTATCGCCACTGATAGACGGATCTTCATTTTCATGGGTGGCCGAGCCTAGGACACAGCCGCACGTTCCTTGTGTCCAAAACACGCCCTGCACGGCCCTACGACTCCGCGGAGTCGACGTCCATCGCAGTGAGCGCATAGTTTGAGCACGACCTGACTACCAGGTCGCGCCTATCCAACCCGACACCTGGGTTGAGTGATGCTTGTGGGGTCCTGATGTTGTTGTTTGGGGTGAAAAGTGGCCGAAGTTCAGGACCGGGTTTTTGGAGGAATTTCATGAAATATCGGAGTTTTCCAAGTTTCATGTTTTGTTTCAATTTCAGATTTGGAACATATTGAATTTTTTTTTGGGACCCCCATGATGGCTAAGACAGCCTACAGCGAATTTTTGATTGCGTCGCGAACGCTGCACTGCGTGTCCCACGGGAAGAGCGATAAACGGCGCAGCAAAAGAAGGATGCCACAAAAGTGGCTAGCTGGCAACAGTATATACATATTACATATATACATATTACATATATACATATTACATATATATATATTCATATTACATACATACATACATACATACATACATACATACATACATACATACATACATACATACATACATACATACATACATACATACATACAATCATACAATCATACATACATACATACATACATACATACATACATACATACATACATACATACATACATACACACACACATACATACATACATACATATATATATATATATACATAGCTTATATCTAAAACTAGGAAGTCTGGAACCAGACCTATTGAGCAGACCCCAAATCTGCTCAAAATTGATGGATTTTGTGGAGATTGATAAATTATTGATATCATATCAGTATTACGTCATACCATAAATATCATGTCATGTCATATCATATCATTGATATATCAGTGGTATCCAAGTTGTCGATGTTGCGTCGGTGATACCGTATTCAATCTATCCAAGGTCGAAACAGTGCGTAGATCACAGACTATTCAATCCATTGAAGATATTAAAGGTCTAATGTGGGTAAAACAATGATAACCATTTCCCCAAATCACCATAGATAGGTGGTATAAACAATTCCCAAATGGGTGGTTTATTTAAGCCTGTTATGTCCCACACCATGGCTCTTCCCGTGCGACGAAGCAGTTCCTTGCCCGGGTCCCTTGGGTCCCTACAGCTGGGTTGCTGCCGGGGTCACGGCCGGCCGGCCGTGCAACGCAACCCCCGCTGCTGCAACGCGCAAATTTTTGTTCGACCCTTTGTGCACAGCTGGCACCTTTCGAAGATGAGTGGTTCCATGGCTCGGGCTCCCATAGTTTCAATAATAACCCTCTCCAGTAAACTAACCACCAATTTTTGACATGTAAATCGCATAGAATCTATAAATGGCAATGTGCAATATTGCCATGTTAGTTTGCCAGAGGGTAACATTTTCCTTCAGGGGTTGGTGCCCTTTGGCGGGAGCCCGATGCATCATCTGATTCGGGTCCAGTGATCTCATAGGAAGCGAGGGCTGATTCTGACCCGACTGTATAGCTCCCAGCAGCGAATGTACTTGTATAACATCGTTTGGGGATCTGGTTAACAAGTATCAACGCCCCAACAACGGATGCTTAAACTCAAACTCATTGTTTGGCTCATATCGAGTGTGTTGGTGATGGTGATGAATACCCGTTTTTAAGGCATGGTCATGATCTAGTTGGTGGTTTGGAACATTCTTCCCCATATATTGGGAATAATCATCCCAACTGACTAATATTTTTCAGAGGGGTTGAAACCACCAACCAGTGATACTAAGCAAGAACAGAAGATATGGGAAGACAATGGCAGTAGCTATGGCACCTGGGGCGCCTGATCATTCTGGAATTCACTGTGAAATATCCCCTGGGTGATGGTTAAATCATGTTAAATCCCCATGTCTTTAGTGTTGATTCCCCGTTTAAATCCTTTAAACTTAAAACCCATTACCCTCTGGTAATTTAACGTAGCTATTGAAAATTACCATTTATAGTTGATTTACCCATTGATAATGGTGATTTTCTATAGCTACGTTAGTTTACCAGAGGGTATAATCCCCAAAAAGAAAACGGTGACGTTCTTTTTATTGATGGGTATGGAGCCCTCAACTCCCTGGCATGAGCCTAATTTGTCATCACTTTTGTAGAGCATGGGCATGTGTAGCACAGGAATTGGCTCAGGCGCAAGGGTAGGTAGTGACAAAGTCGGCTCTGCGGCGGATATCCTCTGATCTATGGGTATCAGGGATTGGGGCCAAAGGAGGGTAACGTGAACTACACCTATATAGTTATAAGCCAACTTAGATTGATGTCACGAGAAATATATCTGATCTAGAGTTACGGAAGTATGTTGGCTTATAACTGTAGAGTAACTAGACATAACTAGACCAGGATACCGCCTTGTGGTCATAGCCAACTAGTATATCTACACTTGGCTTTGTAAACCAAATTCCTGCAGCATGCTGACAGCATATCACGGCAGATGTGCTGGGTTTATAGGCCCTCCAATATTTTTGTACATAGCTATTATGGAAAAGGGACCATTTATACTGGTTGGTGGTTTGGAACATGAATTTTATTTTTCCATATATTGGGAAATATTGGGAAGAATCATCCCAACTGACTTTCATATTTTTCAGAGGGGTAGGTCAACCACCAACCAGATAAATAATTTGAGAGGATTTTGTTCAGAACATGGTGATTTTCTATGGCCATCTTGAATTAGGCTAGTTGAACTGGTCGTGGTCCTGGTTCAGGTCTGGCCACCATTCTTACAAGCTGGGGCTTGTTTGTTGGTTAGGTTGGCGTATAACTTATAGCCCCATCTAGCTATGGCTATAATCACAATAAAACCTAGATATCCTAGTTGAAAACCAACTTTGCTACCATCTGGTTAGCATAGCGACCTGGAAAATCACCATTTCTAATGGGTAAATAATAATCTTTATCATGTAGTTCTATGGGCCATGGCTTCCATACCAGAGGGTAACTAGGTGGATATATATATATATATATATATCCATATTTATAGGTGTTATATCCTATTTTAAGGGGGTTTACAACCATGGTTTTAGCCAACATTTGTAACTTGAACTGCACCCCCAAGTAGCGGATACCACCAAAAAACGAGGATGTCGTCCGTAGCTCTTCCCATGGTTGTTCATGGGTGAGTTCGATTCTTTTTGGTTGAGCCAGCAGTTAAATCCCAAATGGTTCATTGTTTCAGTCTCAGTCCCCAATGTTTGGATGCTAAGATCCAGACATTTCAAGCTTAGATCACTTAGATCATCAAGAAATCTGGTTGAAAATCCATTGTCCTAGAAAAAATGCATACATTATGCTTCAATCCATGGTGGAGCGGTTCTGTTTTCACTGCCAGGCGTTCACCGCAGTGTCCGCCTTCCAGCCTCTACACGGCGCGCGAGCACGGCCAGCACGGTGGCGGAAGTGGAAATCGCAGGTGGAAGGGGTCGTGATGGAAAACCACTCAAACATGCGGATTTACATGGATTATGGCATGATTATGGTGATTTAATGGCGAAAAAGTGAAAAAATCAATGGACATCCCTCAGAAAATGGAGGTTTTAATGGGAATAATGTGAGTAAAACAATGCCATAAACCACCCATTTGGGAATGGTTTATATCACCTATTTATGGTGATTTTGGGGATTGTTTATTATTGATGCCCCCCCACTTATGTTAGTTGGTTTATAATTTATGACCCCATCATACCCCATCTAAGTAGATCTAAATAGAATTAAATAATTAAAAGTATCATACACTGTTTTTATTTAGTTATAAACCAACTTGGCCAACAAACTGGGGCCCCATCCTGTGTGGATTTAATAAAATTTCATGGGATATCAATGGGGATTTTTCGGGGAATTCATAAGATTTAGAGCAACCCCCAACCAAGGGCACATTTTTTAAATCACATTAAATCACATTGAACCGTCAAAACATCCATAGAGATAGACGAGATCTTGAGTATTGTGTGTATTGTGTGCCTTAGATACATGATGATACATGTATATGTCACTATATAAATAAAATCAAATAAATATATATTATATATCACATATATATATATACACATGTATTATGTGAATTGTTTCATGATTTGTGTGTGTGCCTAAGCATATGCCACGAGTATGCACTTCCGGGATCTTGGTTCAAGTAGCCCACCTGAAAGGTCCAGTTGGATGGTTCCAGTTGAATGGCTGTTGACATCAGAATGCCATCATGTTCGATAGGAAAAACTAGGGTTTCCCTGTGAATGTTTGCCGTAAATCGCCATAAATCTGGTGAAATCAGAAGTTTGCTGGGTGAGATGCCGAGATGCCAAGCGTTCATCATTTTGATGGTCCAGAATTAAATCCCCATGTTTGATGGTTGCAGCCCCGTCATTGTTGATGCTAAAATTGGAAATCAACCACCCCAGCCCATTTCGATGAACCTCCCCAATAGATGTTGAAGATATGATAAGATTCACCCTTATAAATGTGATCGGTGGCTGGTAAGCTCCTAATCAACCCTTGATTTATCGTCTTCATTTTCTTCATTTTCCTAGTTGAAATGCAATGTTTGATGGTTATACCGTTATACCCTCTGGTCATTGGGCAGAGCTAGGAAAAATGACCCATTTATAGATGATGTATGATGATTTTCCTATTACACAATTGTGATCTTCGAAAGCTACACTAAATAACCAGAGGGTAATCCCTATATATATATATATATTATGTGTGTTTCCCCGGCTTTAATAAACCTCCATTTAGTTCGGGGATTGTGCCGTATGTTCTTGGTTAATCTTGTTTTCAACCACATAAAACCTCCATTTATAGAGGATGTTCCCGTATTTTTCTCTGTTTTGGGAGCCCTTAGAGCGGGGCAGGTTTGGTGGATGGCCGCTTCCCGGGCAGCTTCACTGCCTCGCCTCAGCCAGACTTCTTGAAACGTCGCCTGGAGGTGGCTGGGCCCTGGGATAGCGATTCCAACAGTTCGTTTTTTTTTGTGGGTTGTAACCCAGAAAAGATCCCAAGGATCATCCATTGACCAACTAGTTAATGCCCTAGATATACTTAAGTCCATGGCATCTAAGTGGGGTTGGGGGATGGCTGGGGGACCGTGATAAAAATGAGTTTTTTCCCGTGGAATCTCTCTTCAAACCCCAGGGGCGCCATCAGATGCGCCAGGTGTGGGATCGTTTGTGGCAAAAGGCGCAAGCAGACTCTTGGGATGAACAGCCCTCGAGGTTATTTGGGACGTTGGGGCATCCAGGGGATGAAAACCGATCAAACACCACCGGGGGGGATGATCCCCGGAGTTCCCCTGGCAGTCGGGTCCAGGTTCGGAAACGGCCCACCCAGCCATGGCTCAGGAGTTGCAAGAGAAACCCAAGCAAGCCATTCAGGTCCGGCCGTGGAGTGGCTTCAAGACAGTCAGGTAGATCCCATGAAAGAAAATGCATACTTGTAATAATATATAATGTATAAATGAATATATATATATATATATATACATGTATATATATATATGAATACAGATACAAAAACAAATACATATCATATTAAACTATATACTAGTAACTATATCCACACTATTACTACATACAATACAAATGCAAATGCATCTACATATATATATATATATATACATTATTTATATAGATTAAGTAGGTTATATGTACATATATATATATATAAATATACATATATATGATTTTTGTGTGTGATTTGTAAATTCAAATCATATCTCATTACATTTCCTATACTGTACACATACTAATGTTTATCACACCCTGTTGGGGTTGGACCCAACCAACTGAAGAAGCTGGATCCACGGTGTACCCGATTGGCGAAACTAAGAGATCGATGTGGAAAATCCAGGGGGACACCCGTTCGGAAAATGATCTTCATTCATGGTGAATAAACTCCACCTACAGGAGTGTATATTACACTGGTTGGTGGTTTGGAACATTTTTTATTTTCCATAGTATATGGGATAATCCTTCCCATTGACTAATATTTTTCAAGATGGTTAAAACCACCAACCAGTACATGTCGAAGTGCTTAGTTTTTTTCTTTTGCCATTTATACAAAACACTTTCTCATCATGAATTCGAAGTTCAACATTGTTCCAGCCCTCAGCAGCAGCTTGTGTCATCTAGTGTCGAGTTGGAGGTGTTACATCCGGCGTTAATGGCTTTACCGTCGAAGAATGAGGTACACTCCACAGTGTTTTTTTCCGTGTGTGTGTGTGTGGCGTGGGGGGGGCTGCTCCTAGAAAGACATCGTCTCCAAGATGTTCATCATTTCCCTATCATGTTCAATCATGTTCCCATCATTTTCGATAGTTCACATCCCTTTTTTGCCTATTGATGCCTCAAGGTTCTTGACGCCTATTGGCTCAAGTTCCCCAAAACCGTTGGTCATCATAAACCGAAGCATGGCGAGCGATTCCGCGTGTGATTTCCTGGCAGCTACCGAGACACGGTATTTCTACATCCCTGATGATGAGAAGAAACACCCTGCGCTGGTTTCCAAGCTGAAGTGAGATTTTAGAAGCCTCGGGAAGGTATAGCCTCCAGTATACTAACATAGCTATTGAACATGGACCCTTAATTGATGAATTACCTGTTATAATAGTGATTCTCCAGTTCGCAAAGTGTTAGTTTACCAAAGGGTAGTCGTTACATGGCAAGTGTCAATAAGATCAGCCAGCTGGATCGCGAAAGCGGTGTGAATTCATATGCGGAGCGCGCTAGTTTTTAACACCAGCCAAGCAACTTGGTTAGTCAATTCGAGTTTTATGCTGGTCATATAATGTATATTAATATATATATATATATGTGTGATGTCCTCACCTTAATTTTCTGAAATTCCATGAAAATCCCATTAAAAAAGGGGTCACGGGTGCTCAACCATCAGCCAAGCAACTGGGTACACCTTGGTTTGGAAGCTAGTTGGGCCCGGGGCTATTTCATATCCTAAGTGAACACAAGCCGCCATGCTTGTTGTGTCGTCAGAGTCTTTGGAAACAGCTCACAGTTCGGCGGGAAAAAACAGTTGTTGATGGTTTAATACACAGAACCAGCAAGTTAAAACAGTCAATCCTCCCCGTTTGTTGATGTTTCATGGAGTTATATACCCTCCGGTAATTTAACATAGCTATTGAAAATGACCATGGAAATAGTGGACTCAGGGGTAATTTAACATTGGTTGTGAATCCAAAAAGACATTGTTAGATCACCATCTCATCTATCGTTTTTGAAAATGATAAGCATTGATAAGCTCATTTTTCACACACCATGCCTTAGCTCTATAAAATGATCGCCATGTGTCACACCGATTTTTTTCAAACCCTTCGAGGACTTGCTGCTGCGGAAGAAGCACCGGGAGCTTCTCGAGCTGGTCACGGAGGGCGCGGTTTCGGTGAAGGAAACGCTGCATCCGCTGAACGTCTCCCTCTTAGAGCCTTGGTACTGGTGGTTTTCCCATGGAACATGTAAAGAAAATGGTGACTGAACCAAGAAACAGAGGATTTCATGGGATTTCATCAACAAAACATTGGTATTCAATAGGATTTATATAGATGGAGTTAAGTTGTATTTACATGGGATTTAATGATGACTTAACGAACACTAATATGGGGATTGCATGGGATTTGTCGCTGATCTATGGTAGCTAAGTTGGTTTATAATGGTTTATATATGTTTATACAACTACCAGAATTCTCTTTGAGGGCGGTGGTATATGTGGATGGGATGGATGATGGGCACCTAACCCAACTTGTCACTGGGAGGCACCTCTTTGGAGCCACTTGTTGGTTGGTGTGTAACCCAACCGGCCCATTTATAGATGTGTTCAAGATGTTGTTACCTAGAAAATCATGAGTGATTTTTCCGGTTCGCTATGTTAACCAAACAGGGGGTATGATATGTTGTCTAAAAATATTTACACACACACATATATATATATGCAATCTGCTCATAAAGCCAACAATAATGGAGACATGACACAAGAAGGGGTCCCAGTTCCTTAAATAAGTTGGTGGAATGTTTCACAAACTTAAGTATTTAAGTTTATCGTGATGAAATGCTGCGGATGCTTGCGAAATCCTGTGCCACCAAAAGGATCGTTGAAACCCAATAAATAATATTAAATAATGGTATAAACTACATCCCTCAATTGGTGCAGGATTTCTTAACCATCCACAGCTTGTAGAATCTCATCTTGACCGGAAAGCATGGTGCCTCAAGATTTGGGGGTGGCAAATCGACTGCCATTTGTGGTTGGAAGAATGCTTTCCAACCGCAAAATTGTTGATGGTCTCATGTTTCCGCAACTGAACATGTGCATTCCTATATTATAAAGTTTGGTCATGTTTCTTTTGGTGTTCAATTCGTTTCTCGAAACGAACCTTCACTTAAAATTTCCCCAAGCTATTGAACTATTGAAATTAGCCCTCTGGTAATTTGTTACATAGCTATTGACAATGGCACATTTATGGTTGATTTACCTATGGAAAATTGTGATTTTCCATAGGGTAGCAAGGGAAATTCATCTGTTTTTAGGGAACATCCGGGAATTCTGAGTGATTTTTTCCTTCGTCAACCCCCAGAGCTTCGTCCAAGCTCTGTCGAGCAGAGTCTGTCCCCTTTTTTACAATTGATGTTTGTTTGAGAATTATTGAAAATGACCATTTATAGTGGATTTACCCATTAAAAATGGTGATTTTCCATAGCCATAGTTACGTTATGGGATTTACAAAAAAACAGTGATGTGTATAACTGTATAACCCATAAGAATGGGGATATGACTAGTCATTTTTTCACCCCAGCATCTCATGGTTTATCGCCATGTTTCCATCAAACTAGTGGAGAATGAAGGTATATCATGTGAGAAAGCAATATCTAGTAAAAACAACATGTGTGGCAAAACAATATCTGGTTATATATATATATATATTATCGAACAACAGCAGCCGATTTGGTCTGGTAAATCACTGTTTCATGTGTGGGACACTGATACATCTGCTGATTGCAATATTCAATATTATCACAGATGCCACTTTTGACCAACATGGATTCAGAAACTGCGGGTTTGATGTCATTCTGTGCGTTTCTTGAAGCCTGAAATGACCTCATCATGAGTCACCAAGTATGGATATGAGAATGCTAGTTTGAGTTGCAAATGGCAATCTAAACCCTGTACCCCTTCTGAGTGCCATGCTTCATGGTTTCCCCAGATGAATCCAGATGAAGCAGCTAGGAACTTTCATTGAAGCGGAACCCAGTTGCTTGGCAAAACATAGGCGTTTACGCCCCTGCATGGGTGGAAAACAAACATGGTGGATACCTTCCGGCTGTCGGGACTTGTGGGCCCTTCATCACCACCACCACCACCAGCATCATCACCATCATCATCATCATCATCGACAACAACCGTTTGCTTCCTAGAAAGCTACTAAATATAGCTGACATGACCCTTTCACTGTGCAAATGTGCGAATTTGATCTCTCCACGGTAAGCCTTGTAAGCCTTGGTCCCTGGTTTTTTTCCTGGGAAGACGGTCCAGGTTGGCAAGTGTATTTTCTAGGACTTATCTTTGAAAACAGCCCTGAACTCCCAGAGCCCCATCCCAGAACTGAGGTGCTGAATGACGTCAGCGTTCTGCTGGATGCTCTGAAGCTGAAGGGAGAGAAGTTGGAAGAAGCAGCTCGGCCAGGTAGAAGACTTTCCGTGCTCCTTCACGAGTTCTGGGAAAGATCCCCGATTGAAAATCCCTGATTAAGCAATGGGAAATCCACGAGCGAAATGGAGGTTTTGATCGGGAAATGCCCTATAAGATCCTATAAGTTGATAAACTGAGGCAACCAACGAACACCTTCAACAAAAAACCGGGGGATTTCCCAGCTTTTTAGCACAATTTGAACCCCTCCGAGGTTCACCTGGATCGCGCCTGCACTTGCGCCTCCCCTGCCTTGATCCAACTGCTCTTGCGGCTTGGTGAAGCAGTTGGCGTTGAGTCCCGATGGGAAGTCCACTACGACCTGGGGAATCTATGGGGAAGAATGTGGTTACGGTAAACCCATTAATTTATTGGAATCAAGTGTAATTGAACCATATTGAACCTACTACCTTGGGGATGGTTTATAGTTTATACCACCACTTTATGGTGATGTTGGGGACGGTTTATTCATGTTTTCTTTTGGGGGGATTAGGAAAACGCAAAATGCATGGGGAAACCCGAGGAGGAACATGATTTACAAATCGTCGGTGTTCCATTTCTATGTATATCAATGTATATCAGTATATCATACCAGCTATGTTGATTTACTTTTCAGGGGAACAGTATTAATTTGAGAGGATGATCATGAATTATTTTGTTGATGGGTTGAGAACCGCCAGCCAGACAAATTGTAGATGGGGTAGGGTCACCAGTGGTGCCTTGGGCTTCCAGTTATAAGTGGATATATACCTATAACTATACTATACCCCAGTTACATATGGTTAGAGGATGTTAGAGGGATATCCCCAGTGAGAGAGAGAGAGAGATGTATATATATATATACCCTCGGGTAATTTAACATAGCTCTTGAACATGGCCGATTTTTAGTTTGATGTTGCTGTTAAAATGATGATTTTCCATAGCTCTTTGTATCTTTACCAGGGGCGGGAGTTATCAACCAGATGCCTGAGATGCACATACCAAGTGTCAGGAGTCATGGTGCTCCCCTGGGGCCCAATGCCTTGCACTGCCTGGTGGAGCGCTTTCCCTTCGGCGCAAACAAACAGGCGGTGCTCGAGCGACACGGTTACAGGGAGCGAAAAAAGGGATGGGTTGAAGTTGAAGGGCAAATTTAAGGGGAAAAAACGCCCTGTTTCATGTAGGACAAGGCATATAAAGAACAATGAAAAACCGTGAAAACCATGGACACCCGTTTTTTCATAGTAACAACAATGGAAAAAATGGAAAACCATGGAAGCCCTCCATAATACCATGAAAACACCGTGCAAAACCATGGAAACCTTACATACATTTCATAGGGAAAAACATTAATTTCCATGAAAATTTTGCCTTAAATTATATAAACAAATCCATTGAAGTTGGTTGAGCCTGGTAGAGATATCTAGATATAGTGTTCTACAGTTCATCAGGTTTATAAACCAACGAACACCATTGGGGGGTACCACCTTGTGCATGGTAGAAATTGGACGTTTTAATGAGGATCATTTCTAGATGAACCTTGGACCTTGGATGAGTACTTGAGCATGAGTTTTTTCCCCTTGCTGGAGGTAGTTGATTGTACCATCCAGCAAAAGAATGTGTGGTATGGAAGATGTTTTTTGCTGCATTTGACTGTCCCAGAACTGGTTGAGAAGGACACGTTTGACATACACCCCCCATAATTTTAGAGAGAAATTGTTTTGCAGATTTGGCCCATTGGCTTGGGTGGCAGTTTGTTGCCAGAATTTTTTTTTTGTGCGGGCTATGTTTGGCACAAGAATATACAACAAATGCTATATTTTGGGTCGGGGCATATGTGGTGTCTAAACTTGCCATGATGATATGGCCTGATCTTGGTTTGATTGGTTACTGGAATGGCTTGGCATTGGTTTGATCCATGTCTATCCATACTGTGGAGCCGCGGAAACCAAGGCTTCCTGGAACAGGCATAGTTCTGGTGATCTTCGGGCTCCGCCAAGTGATGGTGGGCATTTTGATCAGGAAACACATGGAAGCAACTTCAATTAATCAAAGCATTCCAAGACAATCAAGCCCCATGTGATACTGGTACCATTACCAATCAATGTCCCATTACCATTACCATCAATCAATGGTACCAGTATAACCATCTTTGATCAAGTCCCAATATCATCCAGTCTCGGGTTTCAAGATGGTTTATACTGGTACACCATTGATCATCAGAACCGAAGATATGGTCCCTTCAACAACATATTTTGGCTTGTCTTGGCATTGGGTCAACCACCCTTTAGGGCCCAATCACTGTTTTGTTCTTTATGTTTTTTCCAGACTTTAGCTGGTTGGTATAAATCACTTTTTTGCTCAAAGGTTAAAACCCCATGTTGTACGGGTGAAATCAAAGAAGCAGAGACTGATTCAACTGCATGTTTTTGGCTTTTTGAATTGGTCTAAATTGATCTAAATTAGTTTGAAAATCAGAATCTTGGATTTGCTGAGTCACTCAATTTGTACATTGTCCCATTGGAAAATCCACCAGGAGGAATCTAGGGCCGCTCAGGGTCACCGGTGTCGAAAAAATCCCAGGAGTATCAACCTCATGATCGAGGCTAAGGCTGAGATTGACGCTTGGTGTGTACAGCCGGGTTTGTTTCGTCGGTGATTTGGCACATTTCAATGGGACATCCACCAGATATAACGAGGAATTGATTACGGAAATATATATGTTAAACATGTTGTCCGCAACCTTAACGTTCGCCCAGACTCATGATTGTGACATAACAGAACAATGAGGCTACTCCATATATTTATCAATAGATATGGGTCCCAAACATGCCAATGGACAATTCCATATGGTATGGATTTGGATGGATAAATGTCTTGATAACACCTCCATTTATGGGGGATTTCCCAGTGACACGTTTGATGGTGACCCAAGTTTGATGGTTCATCAGCGGACTTCCACATGACCATTGCCTGGTGGTCCTACATCCGTCGGAATGATCCATGTTATCATTTTGTAGGGAAAATAAGGCCTGGATCCTCCAAAAAGGATCAGAAAGTGAACACACAGAACACCCCCTTGTGCAATTTCCTTGTTCCGCTTGACAACAAATTGCCTGAATGAATGGATTTTAGCATGGCTTTCCCGCAGAATCCACCACAAAAAAAAAAAAACTTGACACAAATTGCGGTATACCGCCCGACTGACCCTTAAATTATAGATCATTGCTACACTTGACTGCATTAACCATGCAAAAAGGAGCCCCCACTGGGTTCCAAGCACATAAATCAACAAAACACAATTTAATTCACCTCAACCCAAAAGAGGGACAATAAAATCTATGTAAGGATTTGCTTTACGGTGCACTAATACTTGAATTTGCGGAAGAAACCCCCAAAAGATGTTCGCTACAACCTGGACGTTTGCCCGGAGTTGATGTCCCGCCTTCCTGATTTTGATCCCTCATGAAGATAAAGTTGATGTTATTACCCCATTCAACATATATATATGGGGAAATTTACTGCAAAATACTGGAGGGTACTCCATATTGAGACAACCCACACATCTGCGTTCATCCCATCGCGGCACCGAGGATGCCTTGGGATCCTCGCCATTCTCTTCGGTCACTCCACTGACGGCCTCTGGTGCACTGAGTTTGCCCAAGGAGGTGATTCAATGTGGCTTAGCTGGTTTAAATTGGAAAATCCATAGGAAAATCATGGGAAAAACCTGTTTAGAACTGGAAAATCCATGGGAAAATCATGGGAAAAACCTGGTTTGGCAGCTCTCAGGCTTTGGGATATCAGATATCAATGGATATCAATGGATCTAATGGGTTTCCACATGAAACAAGTTCTGGGCTTGGAACCCCCGTGTCACTGACTTAACCGTTTTCAAAACAGCGGCCCGTGACCATAGCCTTGAAGGAGATGGATCCAAGATGGGGGGAGCAGCATCATGAATACTTGAGAATATGCGAACAACATCCGATATGTTTTCGCTACCTTCATATATGTTTGACATGTTTTTGTGTGTCATGTTAGATTGTTTTTGTTTCAATCCTTTTTTTTGAAACCATCGGACAGACATCAGTGGCGGTCTACATGTGACCTTTCAACAATGTTGTTTTGCCATAAGTTTGGTGTTAATTAATCATTTTGGATAAACCCTAACAAGCGGAGTAAATGCACATGCATAAATAAAAATATATATATATATATATATAACACATATATCACATATATATATACACATTCAATTATATTCACGTATTCAGTTGTAATGGTTCATCCTAATGCATTATGTATTAATATGTGTACATATGTATATATATATGAATATGTGCGCGCATGTAGTAAATTATTTTTGTATATCAATATCCAATCATATCCCGATAGAGCGGTTGACTTCATCCCTACGTTTCCTTTGAGGTTTGCTGGACTTCAGGGCAGATCCCTTGGGAGGCAAAGGAACCCGGTCGCCGCTGCATGCGCATGTGGCGCAATGGGGCTCACCCGCCGGAGTGGCTTGGTTCAGCGTGGGTTGGCTTGGGGAATTTCCTAGCAAAACCATAGGAAAACCATGACAAAATGGTGACATATAGTGACTTAACCCAGAAACATGGGGATTTAATGGGATTTATAGCTGATTGATGATAGCTAAGTTGATGCCCATAACTTGGTGAAAAATGGTTTATGGGTGATATACTATATAGACTAATTAAATGGGTTTATAAACCAACTTATAACTGGGGGGCCTCACCTTGTATAGCAACCCCCAGAAAGATGCAGGAAAAACTATGAAATCCCACTAAAGTCATTGCAAAAAGCAACGAGTTATATTTGATTTTTCCTGGAAAACCCTTCACTTCAGGGTTGCTAAAGGTGATTTTTCACGCTAACTGACGCTGGGCATATTATTAATTTAAAGGGGTGCATTTTTTGTCCGGGCTGGTGATGATTCTATGATATATCCTGGATGCTTTGTACGGGGTCGCACTCCTCGTTTTTTCATGCCTTGAGGTTGAGCTTTTGGTCAAGAACCGAGCAGATCTGAACGCACGAGATGCATCAGGCCCTCGGGGCACCCTTGGGGCAGCCCAAGTTGGCTGAATCCCTGCTCCATGACAAATTGATTCTATTCCCCTTTGCTTGATTCTAGCAAGATCCAACCCAAAAGGTGTCATATACTGTATATATATATATTGTAGATATAACATTATATCCTTGCATCTAATACAGAATATATATATATATCTCTCTCTCTCTCTCTCACCCCTATTTCTCCATCCTTGGATGTCCTGTCTCAGGCAAGACCCCAGTGCATATCGCGTTGGCTGGACATCCCAAGTTTAACCTCGCCATGTGCCTCAAGTCGCTTGGGGCCGATGTTTCCCGGCGCACCAGTTATGTTGGTTGGTTTTTAACCCCCATGAAGAATAGATGTCGAAACCTAAACCCAAACGGTTAGACAACGTTACTTCAAAACCGACTTAGCACAACGCCAGCACCATCCCGAACCAGGTTTATTTATTTTTATTTGGGGTGCTGTTTGTGGGATGGGAACACCTCAAAGTATTGCAACGACGTCATCAACGACGTCATCACTGGAGTTTTATCTAGCTAGCCACGTTTGATTAGTGACTATAGCTGGTTGGTGGTTTGGAACATTTTTTATGTTTCCATTCAGTTGGGACTGTCATCACCCCAACTGACTTTCACTCCATCATTTTTCAGAGGGGTAGGTCAACCACCAACCAGAGTACCATTAACCATCATTAACCATATATTAACCATATATTAACCATATATTCAACGGACCAGTTGACCAGTGCCGGTCGTGTCATGTCGTGTCCGGCATGTTCTCCACCGGCTACGCTGCCGCTCCCGGAGCTGAGGTGACCGTGGCAGATCATCAGGGGGTGACACCTCGCCAGAGACTGGGCATGGCCAGGTTCAAAACCATCCAGGTTCCGGGTGGTTTTCCCGGCTTTCCCCCCTAGACTTTCAGACAAACCAATATCTTTCCACCACAGAAATTGTAACATGAGAGGATTCAACAGGAGCATCCTGCTGTCTCAAAATGAATTCACTGATTTAGACGGCAGAAAAGATAGACTAGTCAAATACCAATGTTTTGTTCAAACACAGGGTTGCCCCAAGCCAGAATATGCAAATGGTATCAAATGGTAGCCACTTTCTGGAGCGAAGCTGCTCATTTTGCCTATCTACCCAGGTTTTCCCCGATGCATATCTGAGGTTTTGGTCTACGATCCCATCCAATGCCAGATACACCCACGATCACCCACTTATTTCCACCGACCATAAATCCAACCGTCTGCCGAGGTATAAATCAACTATCAGAAACCATCCGCCCAGGTATATAAAAAAGAAAAATCAACGAACCAACTGCAAATCCACTTGTTTCTTTCTTAAATCCCCATTTTTGCGGGTGAAGTTACCATTTTTACCTCGATCTCAACGGCAGTGGCTCGGCCCAAGGATCTTGCTGAAGCACAACAGCCCCGCGCAAGCCGCCGAACTGGAAGGACGCAGCGAGCTGAATGCAGAGGAACTGAGGCTGCAACAGGTGGGGAGCTTTGTCATGGCTTTGTTATAGCAACCCCTGAAAGGTCGATGCCGAAAATACCTTAGAAGGCTGGAAAATACCGGGTTTGTAGTGAGTACCTGCAATAGAGGCACACACGGAGTGCATGGGCGAATATTTGAATATGGCATGTCATCGCGGCTGGTATTTGAGACAGTTCTTCAAACATCTTCTAGACGTTTCTGCATGTTTTGTTCTCGGAGATGGCCTGATATTTTTTACAGTAGAGGGCCATCATCGTTGAAGGATATAAAATCGGGCCAAATCATTCGCCATCAAATCGACGTAGATTTAGCCATCATTTTGTGGTATGACATGGGATGACTGTTGGTTTTAACATCATTCCTGGTTCAAATGTATCATATGAATGATATGTGGGTTTCCCAATGATATGTCCAATGGTTTTTCCCCATTTCTGGTGAGTTTTCCCATGATTTTTGCATGTTTTGTCCTAGGGTTCCCCATCGATTCACCATGTCTTCTGCGCATCTGGGGGCGGCCCAGATCTTGCCAGGCTTTGGACCATCCCTTGGCCAAGAAGTGGGGGGGCCCAGGGGAAGCCCGGGGGGAAGCCGCTCGGGAATTTCTATGAATTTTCGGGGAAACCATTGGGATTACCATGGGAGACTTTGGGAAATCATTGGCAAATCCATCGAAAAATGGGATTACCCGGCCTGGTAAACTTTCACATAGCGAACTGGAAAATCACCATGTTTCATAAGAAAATCAACTATAAATAGCCATTTTCAATAGCTATACCATGGGAAAATCATGGGAAAATCCCATTGGGAAAATGAGAAATCATAGGAACAGGGAAAAAGTATGCCATAGAATGGCTATTTCAATGGGTTCAACCGTCAACCTGTGAACCTGAAAACATGATGGTGGAACAATCGTGGATGAATTATAGTGAGCTCACGTCTTGGTTAACCATCACTGCAAGATATTTGTTATGAGTTGTTCAACGTGACTGAAATTGATAGCTTATGAGTAGTTGTTGACCATGACTGAACTGGACTTGTTATCATTGGCTTAATTACCATGACTGAAATATACTGAAATAGATTTGTTGTGAATTGTTTAGTTGTATTCTTATGTATTCTTCATATTTTTTGAATATTTGTTGATTATGTATTACAAATCATTGATAGATATTCACATATTTGTCTTGGGTAATGTACCATTGTTGGCTATTGTTTTTCAATTCCAATGGTGGTTTGGGACTTGAAACATGGCCAAAGAACCGAGGTTTCAAGCCTCTGCCTTCGCTGCTGTCTCATGGATTCTAAGCAGGTGCTGTTGGGTTTATGGTGATGATGGCTATAGAATTGAAGCATGGCTATATTTTATCACAACACACCACGCAACTTGTGGGACCATAGTCAGATGTTTCATTTTTGTTGAACCAAAATCACTGGTTTGACCGTTTTTGGAGCGCCACCTGGTAGGTTTTGCAAACCCAAAATTTTTTTCGATCGTGCCCCGGCCAGCCAATCCCCGGGACAGGACGCCAGAGGATGGCTTTGGCGGTATTTGCAACAACGCTGCTGGGTGCGTGTCAACACTTCCTGGGTTTCCATGTTGTTTTGAGGAAATGGGGGCCCGTGGATTTCAAGAGCCCCAGTCTTTGGACCATCTTACAGTTTGGAATTACTGGTTCTTTTCTGAAGGAATGGCTTTGTTTTTAGTCCATTCTACAAGGTTGGGCTCCAAACAATTATAAACAATTGCTAAGCTGGTTTATACCCAATGTTTCACTGGGGTTGTGGAAGATACTGTATATGTGTTAGATCGGTTTCTAAGCCAATAAACATTTGACCCGAAGGAACAGCAGCAAAAGTAGATTCTCGGAGTGTGACAGACTCGACTGGGTCCAGAAGTGACACATGTACCTAACCTGAAGTATCCTTGACTGGTAGGTGGGAGTTGCCAACATTATTGGGACAGTCTGTTGTGTTAAAAGCCATCATATACTTTATGATATTATATGATAGTATATGTAATTAATATGTCTATTCTGCAATTGTACTTTGGTAATTTAATATAGCTATGGAAATTGGCTCATTTGTAGATTGTATGTAATTTACCTATATTTTTACCTCTTCAACATGGTGAATCTCCAGCTTGCAAACTGTTCAAGAACCAGAGGGTAAGCTAACCATATCACAAATTAAGCATTGGCATTTCAGCAACATGTCGATCCCCTCTCCGGGCCCCGGAAAGCAAAGCTCACTGAAAGTTGCCACGTGGCAAGGAATTGACGGAGGACTTCCCATATGGCGATCGCAGGCTGGGATTTGATAATGATGTGGATAAATATGGAATTTATCAAATTGCGATGTAATATGTGATATGATATGAGATATGACATTTAATGATGATTAGTAATGGGATTTAATTATAGTTTCATTTCGATGTTATGGGAATTGTGATTTAATGACATGTTGTAAATTATAATTAGTTTCATATGACATGTGGATAAATAATAGTTTCATGGGATTTAATTGCGATGTCATTGTGGTTTAGTGATGAAATGGGATTTTTGGAGATTTAACATGATTCTACTATCCAGTCATGGGAGCGCTTTGGAGCTATGCTTGCACCCATATTCCCAATAAACAATGGGAGCCAGTTGGAGAAACGAACTGAGTATCCAGAGCACATGATAAGTCTGGATCATGCCAGCTTTCACTGACGATATTTCCTGGATTATTCCATATTTATCCATATTTGTTTTTCCTGAGGAAAAACGTGAAGGTGCCCACTTCTCAAACACGCTGCTTTAGTATTTCGCGGAAATCATAATGGCCCCACTGGCCAATCCCAGTAACAATAATGGTTGCAGTACTGACGCGAGTTGTCCCCATGGTGAGTTCATGTTTGCCATTTATTGTATACTCTTAGTAATTTTCCCGGAGAATGAGGGGAGCTTATGACCTGGGTTGTGATTTTGAGATGTTTTGTGGAGTGTAATTATATAATTACGGATTTGTTTAACATTTGTTGGGGGTCATCAGTATATGATGTTACTGTCAAGCAAATGGAAGAGCAACATGTGATTGTTTTCAGGCACCAGCACCATCAACCGAAAAATGCCGGACGCATTGATATTTGTCTGGGTGAATTATAACGATCTCACTGTTCTCCCTCACTGGAATCATGGTTAGTAAGGGTTAACTATCCCGACATGTCTTTGTTTCAGATTATATAGTAGAGAAATACCAACATATATATATATATGTGTGTATGTATATATGTATTTTAAATAAATAAATAAATATATATATATATATATATTACTTTCAGGCAAAGCCAAAGCAAGGGTAAAGGCATCCCGGTCCCCCGCTGCACGACGAGAGAGGCTCTCGGAATGCTTGGGTGGACACGTCCCGAAACACTTGGTGCTGCAGCTTCCCTTGACCCGTTGCTTGGCGTGAGGGGAGGTGGCTGTTTTCTGTGGGGGGTTGGGAGCACTAAAGCAATCATTGGTGTGTATATATATATATACATATTAGGTATATATATATATTTATATATATATATATTAGGTATATATATATATATACATATCGGTGTGCGCATGATGGGGAGGATAAAGATATATATATATAGATATGATATATCATTGGATCTAATGATATAAAATGGGATATGAATTGATATGATGGCATAAATGTTGTATTATGGAATAGAATGGGGGTCCACAACTATAAGGCATCCTTGATTTGTGGTTCATTGCTGGGTTCTACTGGAAAAATCCTAACTATCCCTACTTGGGATGAATTGGGGGTGATTTATTTTTGTAGAACCCACGTTGAAAAGGTCACTTGTAAGTGTTTGGAGACCGTTGGTTTATGGTGCATCTGTGATCATTCCTCTGGGAATCAAACGTGGCTGGCTGGAAAATCCCCGAACTAAATGGAGGTTTATCGCTGGGAAAATCATCTATAAATGATGGATTTTCCAGCAAGCCATGTTTGATTAGAATAGGGTAATATCATTCAGGTTTTGGGGCAATGTTGGGAAGGAAGAGTTGGCAGGCAGAAGGGCATCCGAGGTTCGCCGTTTTTTTTTGGAGACCAAGGGGCTGACAGCATGCTGAATTGCCATGTTAGTTACCCTCTGGTAAACTAACTTCGCTACGGCCGCTACGGAAAATTGCAATTTATAGATGATTTACCTGTCAAAAATGGTGATTGTCCTTAGAGGGTATGGTCATTGTATGTTATTGTGTGTTATTGTCACGTCCCCCACTGGAGCTCATTACAGTACAAAGTTGGAGGCGTGTGGAAATCCCTAACCTACTCGCATCGATCCTTCAGTTGGATCATGCCAAGGTTGGTTATATATCAAGTTATGTAAGTTCCTCCTATTCCTGGAGTGGATAGAAACACCAGTTCCTGGGAACATATGTTTGAAGAGTGCTTTCTACATCTCCAGGATGAGGATACTGTGTTGACATGGGCATCTTTCTCCAGTTGGGATTATCCCGTTGTGAACCCAGGTTATAGCGAGTTGTTGGGAGATCTCTGCTTGAAGTCGCCGGAGCCGGAGGGCTTCACAGTGCAGCATGGCGAACTTTCCGGCGCTGGATGATGAAATCCGGTGGAAAAAATCTGGGTAGCACATCAATGTAAGAAACTATCAGAAACTTATGGTACCACATTAGGTTGGTACCACTTTTTCTTCGATATTTTGGGCCAAGTCCTTTCCCCCCAAAAAAAACATGTGGCCGAAAGTGCTGGTAAAATCTGGCAAACCACTTGGTTGATGATAGCTGCAACCAACTGGGGCCCCTTTTACGATAGAAATCCGTTAATCCGCGCATAACTTGGTGAAACAACTCGGCCTCAGCTGGTTGAGTTTCCCCATCTTGGATGGGAAAGATGTCCCAAACAACCAGCTGAGCAGTTTTCATGTCATGCTGAGCCCAGCTAGTCTGGAAATAGATGGAGAACATCAATGGAATCAGCAATTGAAGAGACATGCACGTTGAAAATGCAATAAGAACATGTGTGGAGACCAGTAAGTAGAAAAAAATAGAAGACCTGTTGAACACATGAACATCCATATATAGAGAACCAACATTTCCGGATATAAACACGGAGACGATGCAAGCGAACTGAGCACGCTCTCGGCCCAGGAGAGGCGTCTTGAATCTCGAACGAACATGGCATGGCGGGGCGCTTCATTTGCCCCACCGGCAAAGGGTGGTGCCAGCGAAATGATGTTTCACATGGTATACCGGTATACTGTATACTCAATTATAAATCTACAGCAATTGATCCTAGCTGGGGATGGTTGATTTCTTGGGCTACCACATTATAAGGATGGGCTAATTAAGATTTCTGGTAGAGATATATCTACAATTATCTATAGTCTATAGATGTCTATAGTCTAGTCTGTAGATAATCATGTTTTTGAACTAAGTTATAAATTGCGGGGCACCACCTTGCAGAGAGCACAACTTTTTGAGAATCTGCAGATTTGATCATGATCTTATTTGCTGTTTTGTTGTATTTGACATGATGCTGATTAAAGATAATTGTATACAACTAGTTAAACTAGTTTGCCCTTGTTGGTGTGCATTTTTTCAATGCATGTAATTGCGTGGGAGATTTGGTTCTCAGTGGCCGAATTGAAGCTTGCAATATTTGCAATGGATATTTCGAGGTACTTTTCGGGAATCGAATAACATGGCTAGCTGGGAAATCCCTATCAATGGATGTTTTAATTGGACAATCATACGACCCGCATGTTTGGTCACATTAATTGTTTGGGACCACAGTGCTAATCAATTCATCGGCAGACTGAGGATGGAGATCTACAAATTCTACCAAGAACCCTTCAGCAAAGAAGAGCTTTCTGAAATCAATGCGCACTTTGGAATCTTGGACTTGAAGTTCCCGGACATTCCTGCTGGTGATGTCTACATTCCGCTACGATGTGGAGGATGTTAGGGGCATAATACCCTCTGGTAGACTAACATAACTATGGAAAATCATCATTTTTAATGGGAAAATTCACTATTTCTATGGTCATTTTCAATAGCTATGTTAGTCATACCCAGAGGGTACCAGAAACAGGAAATTCATTGGGACTGTGGTGAACCTCCCCTCCACGCGTATTTTACGTGCTTTTATGTTCCATGATAAACTTGTTTTTTTTTAAAACGGAACTGGCGATATTCCCAAGCCATCGCGGGATCACTTACCTTTGTTACCAGATACCCTCTGGTAAACATACAAAAAGCTATGGAAAATCACCATGTTTAATGGGTAAATCCACTATAAATGCCAATTTTCAATAGCTATGTTAGTTTACCAGAGGGTAGCTCCAGTAATTAGTCATTAATATCCCATCATATTCCCACAGTGGTGTATCATTCAATATTCTTATTAGTGTGGGTAAAACAATGCCATTTTTACCACCACTGGGAATGGTAAACATGCCACCCGTAAAATTGGTGATGACTGGGGGGTGGTTTATGATTGTTTTACCCACATTATACATCATTATACATCATTATACTTATACATCATTATACATCATTATACCACTAATTGTTGACTCTGTCTCTAGCCTTAGGGCCTACTCTCTCCTAGTCAGCCAGTGGTTTTCTCTATTGAGGCCGTGGATGTTTGGGCGACACCTTTGGATACATCCAGAACAACGTGGCGGAAGATGAGGACAGCTCCATCCTGTGTTTTCTTATATAACTTATATCTGGTTGGTGGTTTGGACCATGTTTTCTTTTTCCATATATTGAGAAGAATCCGCCCAACTGAGGAACCATGAGGAACTCCATCATTTTTCAGAGGGGTAGGTTGAAACCACCAACCAGATATGCTTTAAATAGGGTTTGTCAGGAGATGATGGGGGGAATCTTGGGAGAGCCAATCGAAAAATCCCATGATTTGAGTTGGGAAAGAAAGGGAGATGGGGTGTAATGACATATGAATGGGAGATTAATGGAGATCATTGGTTACAGTAATCGCATGTAATATATAATATATACATATATAATCATATATATATATACCCTTGGGCAATCTACTTGTATAACGATAGGACTCAGGAAAATCATCATTACTGGGTAAATCATCAAACTCAATGAGACATGTTGCACTGCTAGCTTAAATTGCCAGAGGGCATCAGTGCTTGAAGGATCATCCTACCAATCGCAGCTGGTTTTGCCAATGGTGATTGGATTTGTCCCCAAATCGTAGTGGTTGACGCTCAAGCCTATTTTAGGTGGGCTGGTTGGTGGTTTGGAACCATGGAATTTTATGACTTTCCATTCAGTTGGGAATAATGACCCCAACTGACTTTCGTATTTTTCAGAGGGGTTGAAACCACCAACCAGATTTTAGTGGGATATTTAATTGAACAAATGATAAAAATCATCTACAAATGAAGGTATACTGCAATGGGGATATGATGGGAATACAACCAACAACTGGACATTTGTGAATATTAGACCAGGATTAATGAACATGTAGTTTATCAATACGCTGGCATATCAATTTGAACTTTTTAGTAGCAGATTGTCACACATTTTGGGATAAATTCTGCAACTCGGAGGCATTCACAGTCATCCAGGGACAGAATCTCCGGCCATGGTTTTGTTCGCAAGTGGGTTACAACTTCACCCCCTCCAAAAAAACTACTATATATCATAGTCCATTTGCCAAGTTAACTAAGTCCATGGCCCATCTAAGCTGTTTGTAGATGGTTTATTGATGGTTCATCCATGTTCATCCTTTTTTTGAATCCCATGATTGATAGTGTGTTACAAGATACCCACGTCGCTACGGACTAGCGGCCTAGGGACAGGAGCAGCAGAAGAAGCAGCGGGTGCCTCGCCTAAACCTCCGTGGCGATAGCATTTTCTTCGAAGGCTTTCGGAGCTGTAAGTGCCTTGGACTGGGATTGATGGACGGGGATGTTTCAATGGGAAGCATGGGAATATTCATAGCAAATTACCACTTAATAAGTTGGGTAATAACTAGTTTAACCTCTTCACCTATAGCAATAAATTATATATATATGTATATGTGTGTGTACCCGCTTGTTGCTTGAAGTGCATCTACGAGTAGCTTGGAACAGCGGGGTGGATCTCCATAATCATCGTCGATGCATTCCATCACTTTATTGTCGCCCGCACAATACTAGGATTTTTGTTCGGATGTTTCATCCGTACACTACATTTCACTACTATATATATATAGATTTTTCATGGTTTTTTTTCAACATCATTCATGAACATACGGTAACGACTAGTAATGACATTTAAATGAGTGGAGGGCGGGCCAGACCGCGAGGCCCCTTATGTTTAAATGGCCGGGCGGGCCAAGGAAAACTTCACCGATCACTGGGATGGAGGGAAACGAATCAACGAATCGCCATGGCTCGCGGTCGCGGTCGCCGAGGTATTTTGAAGATGACCAAAGCCTCTGGGGCACTTTGAGCTTGGGTTCTTGAATCTTTAAACAGCTCCTGAAGTTGTTTTGGTTAAGGATATAACTTTCACCCCAAAAAAAAAAAAAAATTGTTGGGATTTGACATGTGTATATATATATATATATGTACATACTCACACACACACATATATATACACATATCGTTGTATTTGATGTAGTTGATTTAGAATTGCTGTTTTGGTTGCTAATCTCATCCCCCCAAATAAGATTTACTGGGATTTTACCATCAACAGTGGGGATTCAACGATGGGAATATGGGTTGTAATCCAATCCCCTATGAACAATCCCACAATGTCAAGGGACCCCAATTCATGAGTAGATCCAATACTAAAAACAATAGTCTCTAAGGGGTCTTCAACGATGGAGGGAACAGAACTTGACGGATTACAGGATGATACCGGATGGGTGGCTCAACCATCAACCAGATCACCTATCGTGTTTGCAGGGACGATATATGCCAGTGAAATCCATGTTTACAAGTGTGGTTCCATTAACAACCCAAGTGCTGTGAATGCTCTCATTACCGGTAGCTCAACGGCCAACCGCTTAGACCCCTGTGTGCAACACACGGGAAGTGCTGCTGTACAGTTTGTAGTTGCCCACTTGTGTGGTAAAAGAAGAGCCGAGGGTGCTCGTCGGAGCTGGTGTTTGAATGGGGTTGGATCTGACAGCATTCAATGGGCAAAAATATGTTTGCTTCAGATGAAACTTGATGTTTCCCTTCATGATAAAGCTGGGGCTCCAGCTTCACAATTGCCATTTCCCAACATGTTGAGTATGCAATCTTCACACAGATAGGGCAGATGGCCCCTTCCATGTATTGTTTTCCAGTAAAGGCTGGCTTTCTTCAAAGATGGGCACGTGTTCAGTCGTTTGCTTTGCTTGAAACATGCGCAAAGATGTGCATACGCAATGGTGTGACCGCTAAAGGGACATCATATGTGAACACTAGTATTCGCACATGTTTCATAATGAGACTTAAACCACAATTAGACTATTTTAGGGAGAGGAAAAACAAAGGCAGGAACCATCGAGGGCTCAGAAGCATATGGTTTGCTTAAGATTATATAATCATAAGTAATTAAGATTAATCAGATCAATATCAATATCACCCCGGTCAGTAAACCCCCTGTCCCTAACTGAGGTAGCCCATTTACAGCTGAGTTGCAAACCCACTAACCAGTGACATCCAGTGGGGTGTTCCTCCATGGTCCTTTAATCCCGTGTAATTATATCCTTATCAAAAACCACCATTTCTGTGGGGTCAATCCACCACTGTATTTATCGCAAAGTATTTTCCGTTGGTATGTATAATATGTTCAATATATCATACCTATTCATATCTACTATCCATTGGTTTTAATATTCCATTGCGTTCCATTATAATAACTTTAATCCACCACTCTATTCCTATAGCCATGTGAGGGGTCACTCAATGACCCTTTTTCTGCCATGCAGGTGACGCTGCCAGATGGCTCAGTCCGAGCATCTTGCATTAAATTTACTGCAAGGGTACTTGGAGAGGACAACTATAGTAACAAATGGAAACATATATACATATATGGTAACAACATGTATAGTAACTATAATGCCTAATTAAAGATACCCAAAGATACCTAAAGATCTAATTCCTAGGTTTGAACGACACGCAAAACGACTCTAATTCCAACGTTACAAGGTTCGAAGGCGTGAACGATGGTAAACTTAATAGACTTCACTTTAAAAATCTTGTGGCAGGTTTTAGGTACCCTTTTTTGTTTTTCACAAATATCAAGAGAATTCGGATAGAATGGGTTGCTCATAATCCCATAGGATCCATGTATGCTATATATGCTAAGATTTGGGGATATATTGATGGTAAATGTTACCATATATAGCATACATGGATCCTATGGGATTGGTCACAATTTCTTCCAGTGTTTGCGAATTTGAATGCCCCCTCTTCCGGGAACATGGACACCTGAAGCATCGGCGTCCATCGGTCAGGAAGCCACCAGCTATGTGACCACTCCTTTGGAGATTGCAGAGGACTCGGCGGGGTCATTGGTCGACCTCACCGTTAGCCATGATGGGTAGTATTGGCTTAGCCATGGGGTTCACTTTTCTCATTACTTCCGGAAGTACTCAGCAACCTGCAGCATTTTGCAGCACTGTTTGGTAATCAAACATGATCAAACATGGCTGGGAAATTGATGGAACTAGCAAATCATGTATTGACAAATCATCTACTGGAACTTCCCGGCTCAGATTCTGCACAGACGTAACAGTAAGGTGGCCATTAAACTTGTCAGCGGTGCGGCGATGAACCTGTTTAAGATGAATCAAGCTGATATGAAAGGACGATGGGCATCAACATAGTCTCCCCATGGTACATACATAATTTCAAAGATTTACAACTAAGTGATAATCCCCGTGTCTCACCATGATTCAGAGGTGTATCCCACAAAATCTCCAGACATATGACATATCATTAAGTTATATTAAAATAAATTGATCAATGATGGTGCATGAATATATCCGCATCATTCCGCATCCAATTCACAAAAACAAAGAAATCGCTGATGTATGCCACAAACTTCCTCAAAATACCACAAGTGGATCCCAGAAAGAAGCACCGCAAAACGTATCATCATGTATCATCCAATAATATGCATGTATATTATATATATATATGTGTGTGTGTTCTATTTTCCCCATATGTCCTTTTCTATATCATATCCTCAGTTCGGGTATGGCCCAGGGCATATCCAAGCGCCTGGCCGCCGATGCTGTGGTGGCGCTGGTGGAATTGACCGAGTTCGGAGACCCAGGGACGCCGGAGACGCCGGAGACCGGAGCGGCGCAGATCGTTTTGGATGTTTTGGGGCGGTGCAGATGTACAATTCGAGTCAAACAAGTGATTTGGGTATGGGTCAATACCTATAGATACATTTTTAGTGGGATGAACATCCATTTACCAGCTATTTTGGGGTTCACTAGGTACCAGGGTTTTGACCCATCCCCATTTGTGAACAATATGTGGACAATATGACAATATCAATTAATGGTCAAAAATAGCTAGTTTGGAGATTTCTAGCTGGGAAAATCTCTTAGTTATCATAGTTATCGTTCAGAGGCCGCAGTTTGGAGCGGTGGCCTTGGGCCTTGCAGGCATTTGTTCCCCGACAGCAGAGGGTGGTTCGTCAAAATGTTCCCAGATCCCATGTATATCGAGCCAGTTTGAATCCCATATCATCGTCTAGAATCATCGAAAATCATCTAAACACATACCCTCTGGTTATTTAACAGTTCGGCATGGTATAGATGGCCCATAGAAATAGATGGTTTACCTAGCTATAAAATGGGTGGATTTTCCATGGCGAACTGTTAGTCATAACCAGATAGTAATCCATATTTATTCCCCTTATTAATCACTATAGACTATAGATACATTAACCGCTATTAGTGGATATTTACCCATTGAAACATCATCTAAAATCAAGAGCAACTTTGTGAAATCCTAAGGCCGGTGGATGACAGCTGTGCCCCCTGTGTGGCTGCGGCCTGGAACTTAGCTGCGGCTTTCATCGACATCCCAGCTGTTGTGTAATTCATGGGATTTGATCGGAATCAATAGGGTTTTATTGGAATTTCATTGGATTTTATAAGGATCTAATACGGAATTAAATGGGATTTGACCGTGAAATATAGGACAATCTGGAGGTTTTATGGGGGTTTATTGAGCTTTAACTATTTATATGCATAGATGAATGATGGTTGGTTGATGATTGGTTCGTCATGCAATAGGGTTTTTAACCATCAAACCATGAGGATATAAGTGGATACAACTGATAATTTGTGATTGGCTGCTGAGTATTTACAGGGTTCTACTACGATATAGGGATGATGTTGCCGGTTTAAATATGTTCCATTTTCACGTTGCCCCAAGAAGGTGGTGTAAATAGACAGAGATTCAATATATAGCCTCCTGTGATCAAAGATGGCTATGGACAATTTCCCTTAATGAAAAAACCTTAAGTACGATGAGTTTCCCATTCAAATGACCATTTATAGGAAATTTCTCGTTTAATCACCATTTCAGGAGGTAAATAATCTATAATCAGTGAACAATTATTTTTTCTCATAAGCTATGTTTGATGACCGGAAGGTGTATAATGCTGTAGACCCAATGCCATAAACCTACCATGACTGGGGATGCTTCAAAAAACCATAAACATGGTGATTGGGCCACAAGCTGGGCACTCATGCAAGGATGGGGAAGATGACGAGGACGGCTTGACCATAGGAAACCGTGAGTTCGGGAATCATAGGAAAGTCCTAAAAAGGATCTATGGTTCAGGGCATCAAGGACATAAACTGGGAAATTATATGGTATTACATATAAATTATATGAACATATTGGAAAATGATCAAATGTATGAACTTATTTGACCATTTCACGGCGCGTTTTAAGAAGCTTTAGGTGGCATTGACCAATGGGTACTACCAAGTTGGACCATAATAGGAGTAACTATCCCCAACGGGCCGAACTTTTCAGGTCAGTCAAGGATATTTTACTCAGCTAGACCCAGATTTGTGAAAACTTGAGAGATTTGATTCTTGCCAGCATTAGGTCCTCAAACGCTTCGGATTCGAAAATTGTGAGCAAAATGGCTTGGTGTGGGCGGGAAGCTGATTTTCTTGTTGAACACCCTCGGTAGTCAAACACGGTCATGGCAAATACGTGTACAAATTGTATGATATTATATATATAGTGACATATATGTGCATTCATATATATATATACACCCTCTCTCTCTCTCTCTTTCTCTGACGTCTTTATCCATACACAAAAAAATGGTATGGATGATGCTCCTCACAGAAATGGAGCTAGGATTCTTCGCCGCCCAGGAGGAGGAGGAAACCAAGGGACAACTCTGGGATCTCACCAGGCCCTTAGAAGGCCGGATGATCGGATGACCGTTGTGCCACGTTGTGCCGGTGTAGCGAAGTGAAAGTGTG